GTGGGCCTCCTGTAGAATCTAAGAAAATGTGCTCTCCTATTCCCCAAGTAAAAAAGGAATGTACACCAAATCTCTGCATACAATTTCAGGAAATATACGGCCCACTTCCACCCTCCCCACTCATGCCTAAGCCAGTTTTTGAGCCTCCTATGTACCCATCATTTCAACCACTGGGAAAATAAGAAATGATCCTATAATATTCAGAAACTGATGCGTGTAAAAGATCTGGTCTTTTTTTTTTTCCTAGTTGTCTAACCATATCCAAAACCACTTTCTATCTGGAGGGATACTTCACTGTATTAGAGGTACAGGGAAGCAGGGTATAACCCTTCCATGGCAGAAGAGAGCAGGTCCTGCTTCCCCATCTTTGGCAGGACGGGCCTCTGCTGGCCAGTCGTTTTGTCCCAATTTGGATCCCTGAGTGTGTAGCAAAGGTACAGAAGAGGCTGTGAAATCAGTAAAGAAGGAAGAATCTGCCATTGGCAGTATCCAGTGGCAGCAAAGTCAAGGTGAGATTTCTGTCTAATGTTTCCTAGGTTCTAACTCCTACTAACATGAACTTCCCTATATTCATTTCTGGCTTTTTAAATCTATCTGTTTCCTGAACTACCTGACATCCTTCAATGAATCCTTTTACTACAGAAGTCACAATGTGTTACTTTAAAATTTCAGAAACCATACCTTTCCTAAGTACTATAAAAGTATTGACAGTATATGGCAGCAGAATAGCTCAATCTCCTTGGTGCCTTCTATCACTTGAAGAGCCTCACACTTGACTGTCTGTACAGCCGTTTACAAAGTCATTTTGTGTTCTGTTATTTTCTCCTGCATTTCACACCAGAATGTGTTTAACACAACTTTCAATCCTTTTTGAAACTAATCAGAGTAATTTCTGTATTTATGTAGTCAGAGGGTTTCTGAAGTTTAGCCAAGATAAATTAATAAAGTATGTATGATTAGGGCCTCCCCTGGTAGTGCAGCGGTTGAGTGCTGGGCTGCGAAGCTGCCCGCAGCCTCTGCAGTGCCAGTTCGATCCCCGGCCGCCGGTGAGAGTCCCACATGGTGTGACAGACCTCTCCTGTCGCTCCCGCTGCTCCCCTCAGCAGTGTATTTCGTCAGTCTGCCTGTTCTGTTCCCCACTCTGTCTCTGGTGAATTTTCTCACCCTCTGGCGCTTCTAACTGTACCCAGTGCTTGTATAAATAAATAAATCTTAAAAAAAAAAAAAAAACAAAATTAAAAAAAAAGGGAAAAAAAAGAAAATACATATGATTAGAAAAAATATATTCTAATTGTAGAATTAAAAAAAAAATCACTACAGTGAAAATCAGCAATGTTGATTTTTTTCTATAACCCAAATAGGTCCAGGTTTTAAAAAGATCTTTCCTTTGACTTAAAAGAAAAAATTACCTGGGAATAGCTAAGATAGTATACATACACAAATCATGCTGTTTAAGAAATTAGTTGATATATTTGTAGCTAAGTACAATTTAATGAAGTGAAATTATTTAAATGTATGCCATGCTATTCACAATATAAAAAAGTAAATGAAATGATGAAAGTTATTATGATAAAGGAAATTTATCAAATATTATATAGCCATTACGAGTGAATCAAGTCTGCAATGGGGAAAAAATTTTAAAATTTTAAATGAAAAATAGAAAATGTAATATTGAATGAGACCAAGGCAGTCAAAATAGTAAAACTTTGTTTTAGTTATCTTTTATTGCTCCTTAAAATAAGTAGTTTAACAGGTATTTATTAAATGACTGCTACGCACTGAGTAAAACACTCAATATGTAAAATTGATATTCCCTACCCCACAACATTTTGTGTATCCTTGTTAATAAAAAATCAGTTATCCATGGATGTTACGTATACTTCTGGATTTCTATAGTATGTCCCACTGACCTATTAATCTATCTTTAGTCCATACCAAGCAGCTGTTTTGTGTATAATAGCTTTATAACTCTTCAAGTCAGGTAGTATGAACCCTATAAATTGTTCTTCAGTGTTGTTTTGGCTAATCTATACTCTTTGCATTACACATTTATTCTGAAATCAGTGTGTCAGTACCTACAAATGCTGTCTTTACCCCTGGTTATACTTTGCTCTAAATTCTACTTTACCTGATATTAACAAAGACATTGCAGCTTTTTTTTTTTGAAAAAAAACAAAAAAACAAAAAAACAAAAAACAAACTAACATAGTATAAAACTACTTTCATTTTTTAAACTCTTAACCTATTTGTGTCTTCAAATTTAAAATAGATTTCTTGTAGGTACTATGTGTAAGTCTTGGGTTTTTATAGTTTGACAAGCTTTCCCTTTTAATTAAGATTTTTAGACATTTAATATGATTACCATTAGGGTTGAGTCTATCATCTCACTGTTTTCTATTTATTTGTTGTTGTTATCTTTATTTCTGCTAATTTCCATTTGCTCATTATCTCTTTTCATCTTTTCTGCCTTCTTTTGGATATTTACAAGTCTGGCTGGTGAGAACAAGTACTATTTCTGGCCTTTGCAACAAGGTACCAACCTTTTTTAATACTTTCAGATGATTCTTTTCCTGACCTCAGGTAGTTTCTGCACATACATGTACTAACCAGTACTCTGCAGAATTCTCCAGTAGGACTGTCACAGATCTGTGGGGTCCTCTCCCTTCTCTGTTACTCTGCTCTCTGAATTCAGGCTGCTTTATATTTCCCACTTTCAACTCTGTCTCAACTCAGGAACGCTATCAAATTCTGCTTCAGTACCTTCTCCCTGTGCCACAAATTTTCTCAAGGCAGTTTTTAATATAAAACTATAAAACTTTTAGGAAGAAACAAGAGAAACACTTCCATTCATTAGGCAACTAGGCAAAGAGTTCTTAGACATGACTCCAGAATCACAATTCAAAATATTTAAAAAAATGATAAATTGTAATTCCTCAAAATTAAAAACTGTAAAATATTGTTGAGAAAGATCATTTACCATTAGATACAAATTAAAATCATAATCAGATATGACTGCACATATAGAAGGGTGAAAATCAAAAATACTAATGATAGTAGGTGCTGCCAAGCATGTAAAGCAACCAGAACTTAGACATTGCTGGTAAGAATGCAAATGGTATATATACTCTGAAAAATGATTTGGCAGTTTCTTATAAAGTGGAACATACACTTTCCATTATGATCCTGCAATCACAGACCTAGATATTTACTCAAGCAAAGGAAATACATTTCCACACTAAAGTTTAGCTGTCCTATTTAATAATCACAAAAAAAATGGAAGCAGCCAAAATATCCGTCAAGTGGTTAATAAACTTGGCACATTCTATACAATGGAATACTACTAATCAATATAAGAAAATGAATTTAGATGGACACAACCTGAATCAATCTCAAAGGAAATATGCTGAAAGAAGCCAGTCCTCTGAAGTTACATATTGTGATTCTAATACTGTGACTTCATCAAAGGAGAAAACTAGAATGGCTGGCAGGGAATAAGAGTAGAAGAGGATATACCTACTAAGGTATAGGAGGAAGGTTTTGGGGTGATTAACTGAATCCTGATTGTGGCAAAAATTAAAGGTTTTTTTTTTTAAATTAACGCAATTCTATGTCAAATTTTAAAGAAAATTTTACCGTAAGCCTAACACTAAAATGGTAACAATAAGTTGGCCAAATATTCTGAGGAAAGCATTCTAGGCAGAGGGAACAGCTACAGAAAGTCTGAGGCTGCAACGTGCCTGGTATATTCAAGGAACAGTGAGAGAGTTCATGTTGCTAAAGTAGAACAAGTAGAGAAGTCAGAGATGTAACAGGGAACCAGATCATTTAAAACAATTAAATTATTACAAAGACTGACTTCTGAGTAAAATGCACTGCTGAGTTTTGAACAGAGTAACAGAAAGGACTAACTGTTTTAAAAGGATCACTAAACTCTGTGTTGAAAATAGGTTAGAGGTGGGGGAGAGAAGAGGAAAGATAGAAGAGGGATGTCATCTTAGGAAACCATTTCAGTAATACAGGTAAGAATGACGGTGGTACTAAATATGGTGACAGAAGTGGAAACAAATGTTTGGATTCTAGATAAATTTTGAAGGTAGACCCAAAAAAATTTTCTGATGGATTAGACTGAGAGAAATAATGGAGCCAAACTCCCAAGTTTTCTAGCCTGAGCAGCCAAAAGAATGAAAGTTGCAAAAATTGAAAAGAGGACAGCATTAGCAGAATAGGTTGTGGGAAAAGAACAGCTCAATTTTGAACATGCCAAGGTTGAAAGTTTAGTAAGCAGTCAAGTACAGACTTCAAGTTTGGCTGGAAAGACTAAGTATATGCAATATACTCAGCAATAGTTTGGGTAAGAGAGGAATCATGAAGCATTCTGGAGCACAGTGAGATTCTGTGCTCTGGAAGCTCACTCACAGGAAGGTGTGATCACTGTGAATAATCCATTCAGCTGTACTATTTTTGCCCTGGAGTTGATTCAGTAGTGAATTCATTTGAACTAACCCTCAATTTTCTCTGTTTCAGGATATAAGATTTTAAACGGTGAGGGATGAGTCTCAGAGGACAACTTCTTAAATGAATTTGTCTTTCCTTGAAGTACTCATTTGAGATTATTCTTTTCTCATTATCTACCTCTGCTGTAATTGGTAGAGCAAGGCTGTGTTGCTTCATGGATACAATGGCATGTTACCATAGCATAATGTCCTGAGAACAGAAGGCAGATGAGTGCATATTTTATTAATACTCAAAAGATTTTATGTAAGACTCATGTCTTGAGGTTTTTTTTCCATCTCTCTATCACAATAAGGCCAACTCTTTCAAGGGGGAAGATATATATTGTATAATGTGTGTCACCTTCTATGCTAATTTATTATATATTTCAAGGTGTTTGAAAACTGATTATTATCTCCATGGATATTTTCTGATCATTGTTTCTTTAGTCTTACTATATACTATCAGAAATAACAAGATGTAAATAATGTAATAGAATTTCATTTAATAAGTATATTTAAAGTTCAACTTTTCCAGAAACAGCATTTTAATTACATTCAAAGTGTGTTCATTTTAAATATCACCAAATTCATCATTTATATACAGCGTTGGCTATTAGAAAACAAATGGAAACTAAAACAAGATTTTTTTTTAAGTCCTTACTTCCAAATTTAGTACACTGTAACTGTTAAATATTTATCTAAATGAAATGTATACATTATCAGAAAAACAAGTTGTATTAATAGGAAAGTAACTCTGATACACATATAGTGGAACATAATTCACATTGGTGTAAATTACAGGTATATTTCAAAGTATAAAACAAAATAAAAAACCCAATAACTACAAATAAAGGCAAAAATTGTAACTAATATTCTGAACTAATGTACCTGTAATACTTCCCCAGAAAAAGTAGAAGCGTTCTCAAGATTTTATAATGACCCAAGATTTTTCATTCTTATCTTCAATACATTGTCCACTGTATGAAAACAGACAACTTAGACTTTCTTTTTGTCTTTCAAATAGATTCAGTGACCAAAAGGTATCATAAGTGCTATTAAATCTGTTCTATTTAGAGCTCAGTAACCAAGGTATTTCTTTGATTTTCCCCTGAACCTCTAGTTTTCTACAAGTCTCTAATTTATACAACGGTGAAAAAAAGAGATCAAATAATTCTGAGATGGCAAAGAATTATTAGAGTTGGCACTAACACAGGATTACAAAAAGTTATCCCTCATTTATTAAATCATAAATACACAAAAAGAAAAATCTTATCTGAAAACATGAATAAAAAGTGCTCGAAAAATCGAAAACATTAAAAATGTGGTGCTTGTGGGCTTCAGTTTTGAAGACATAACTACTAAGCTACTACTTCTGTTGAGTTGTTTTTTAAACTTGCATAACTTGTTTAAATATTTAAATTGTTTAATCAAGTTTCCCTAGCCAAAACAGGTCATAATTATTGTGCTCATGTAAGAGCCATGTGAAGACTGTAATAAGGGGAATAAAAGGATATGATAACCATCAAGTTAAAACTGGAAGAACTAGGAATAAAACTAAGCACTTACCCGATTGATCAAAGACAGGGAGGAACTCTGCCTTTCTTCAGATTTTTCTGCATTTCATAATCACATAATGAACTGTCTTAATCAGCACACACTATGTTTAAAAGGGACATTTCTGGAATTTATCTGCTTGTTTTGCTTGCCTGTTTGTTGATGATAAATCTTAATCATGCTCAGATGTACGGACATATTCAGGTCTTTCTGAAGTGTGAACAATTTACTTTGCATGTAAATAAAATCACCAATAAGAGTATTTAGTGTTTCACACAAATGAACTGCTTAACTTCAAATTAAGCATGTTTAAAATAACTGCTGCTTTGTCAAAAAATGAAATTATTTTATTCAATTATAAACATACAGTAACAAATATTACACAATCATTCCCTATGATTACTATAAAAATTTAAATTATTGTTTTCTCTTCATATGAAGATAATGGTTCTAAAACAACAGTCTAAAACAGAATAGCAAATCTATAAACACAACCCCTTCTCAGTCTGTGGAAGTCAGTGCACTCAGAAGTTATAAATAGGTATGATGTTCTTCCATAAGAAGGGTTCTAGAAAGATTAAAATGAAAAAAGGAAGAAAAGATAATCTGAAAAACAACCTAAGAATCACAAATGCAGGTGTTAGTCATTCAAGTGAGGTACCGGGGAATCAATCAGTTGTGCTTTTTTCTCCCAATGGAAGACGTTCCCATAACTGGAGCAACTGTTCACCAACCTGAGGTTCTAGCTCCTAGATAAATCAAAAATCACAATCAACACAAATAACTGGATTGAATTTTTATCACCAAAACCTAAACCAACAAAAATACGTAAAAATCATCTTAAATTTCATTTCTTTATCACAGTATACTAAAATAATATGGTATGCATCGTTCTAATTCTTGTGTTAAGGTTTATGGAACTGACTTCCAGAAATCAAGAATGTAGTTAGGCTGTAAATTCTGCAATTATTTGTGATAAAATGGTGAGAAATTTCCAAGGACTTCTGGAATTTCTATCTGGAAAGAATGAACTTTGCCTTTGTTTTTATTTAAATTTAGATATGACAACATTAGCATTTGTACAACATAATGATTTGATATTTAAGAAAAGCACTCTCAAATTTTAACGGTTTATTGGAAAATCTAACATATTCAATTTATGGTATTTTTTTCAAGAAACTATCTTAGGTGACTGACCATATGTTCTTATCTTAAAGACTAGATTTATTTAAAAATAATCAGAGAATAAAACTTAAATTATTCTTATATAATTAAAAAGAATGCCATTTAGTTTCCTTATGACATTGTATCTCTGATGTGCATGAAAACAGAACCCTGACACTTTTCATATGGTAATGTAAAGTGAGTCAAACTGGTTTAAATAAATTATTAGTCATGTTACTTCAGGCAAGTCTAATTTCTTTTTACTTTCCTACAAATATTGGACTAGTAACTCATTTTATGCATAAGAATTATTTCAGATAAGCAGCTAGCACAGTACTCAATCTATGTGTTAATTCCATCACCTTAGCGAGTTTAAAATGCACATGAACAGCATCACAAGGGCAAAGTAAAACATAATAGAAATAAGACAAGTCACAAAAAATGGTACTATTTATGCTACGTAATTAAAGTCATAAAGAAATTAGATACTGTTATTATCTGTAGACTTTAATCAGATTACTTCAGAAACCATCTTTAGTTACGAGACAACACAGCTTATGAAAGATTTTACACACATACAAATATACATTTACAAGATATTAAAAGGTACAGTGAGCTCTAGCATACCCATTTGGCAGGCAGGTTTCAACTAGGACTTTTACAAAACTTAACCACTATTTCCCATGTGCATATGCAATAAATACTTTTTATTTTTATATTTGTCCCTCAAACAAATCACTGATAACAGCAACACTGAGAAAAAAGAAAAGAACTATAATATGTTATTGTATACCTGCCCATCTCTGCTAATCTGGACTTTCTTGTTGTCATTCCAGGGATTGAGTAGATGGTGTGCAAATTGAAAGGGAAGACTTTCTTTTCGTATCCACTCCACCTTAAATACTCCTCCTAATCCAGCTGAACCCCAATCCTGGCTCTTCTCCCTTCCTATCTCAGAAGACATCCTAGAAAATCCCTGTGGGTACAAAGAGGGAAAACGGTAAGCATAAGGATGATACTCAGATATGTGAATTCAATCTATTTGAGAAAGCAGGGAGGTTTTTTGTTTGTTTGTTCTAGGTAAAAGTGAAATATAAAAATAATAAATATACAACAAAACCAAAAATAAGATATTTATTCAATTTTTTATGAAAAATTCTTAACAAATTTTAGAGGAAAACCAATACTAGCCTTCCAACATAATTTCAAATATGAAGACATTTCCCAAATACTGTATGAACAATTTCAAATTCACATTTATTGCATGAAAAACGGACACACCTAACCTCTATGTTTTTACTTCTAAAAATTAAAATTGTACCAAATAATAAATTCATGATTTTGTAAATTCAGATAATATATCAAGTCAAGATGGGTTAAGAAATATAAGAAAAGCACTGTTTCGTGATGTCAGCACTAACTTCTCTATTTAAATAAACATTTTACCAAAAAATCAATCTTCTCATTACTTTTGTAATCCACCTGAGAGAGAGTAAATCTAAAGTTGCCTTCAGAAGGAGAAACTTTTATTTGGAGAGGATCTGGTAAGATAAGGCAGAACCAAAGACAACCCTATTCATTGTTCCTTGAGGAGGTGCAAATTATTCCTCATTCTCAGTCAAGCAAAACATATTTTTCCCATTCCATGCAACAAAAAGCCAGGTTTGATTTTCTTTTTTTTTTTTTTTACTCTATATGATCTAAGCTGCCAACAGAACAATCTCATTTTACTATTTCAGGATGGCTCACCTGGAAATGTCCAGATCCTTGAACAGAAAATACCAAGTAAACCATGCTGCTTTCCCAAAAGGCTCGATTTAGTTTCCGCTCATTACTAGGGGTTGTAGACCAGATACCCTTCTGCTGAGAAATTTCAAGGTTTCTCAAATTGCTACTCTTCATTATGAAGTATCGAATAGGCATGTTTGGTCTTGGTGAAGGAGATTTTGAGCCCTATAAAAGAATGCATAAATTCTTGAAAGGCAATCTGACCTTCCACAATCAATAGGCCCCATTAAATAACATCTTCATAAACATAAGCCAAAATATTTTATAAATATTCAACAAATGCAAATAATTCTCTATCATGCCTGAAAACCTATACAAGGTTCAATCAAAATGAGGTCAAAGTCAAATCCAAGTACTCATTTTCATAGCATTCAATCCCCACTTAAGAAAGGATTCTAGATTACTAACTCTGATTTATACTCCAAATGTACTTTCAGAAAATAGTTTAATAAACTTTCAAAATTTGAAAACAAACAAAAAAATTATTCTAGCTTACTGCCTGGGCACAGTTTCCAGGCAACAGTGCAAGGAAGGGAACGCAAAAAGACTTGAGTGTTGGGCCTCCCCGGTGGCGCAGTGGTTGAGTGCTGGGTTGCGAAGCTGCCTGCAGCCTCTGCAGCACCGGTTTGATCCCCAGCCACCAGAGGAGGGTCCCACATGGTGCGCAGACCTCTCCTGCCGCCCATTGCTCCCCTCAGCAGTGTACTTCTGTCCTTCTGCCTGCTCTGCTCCCCGCTCTGGCTCTGGTGAATTCTCTCACCCTCCCGCGCTTCTGACTATATCCAGTGCTTGTATAAATAAATAAATAAATAAATAAATTAATTAATTAATTAATTAAAAAAAAAAAAAAAAAAAGACTTGAGTGTCCTCACTAAACTGCATAGCTAAAGCATAGAATTTAGAGACCAAATTTGCTTGGCAGGGTACTTGACAGAAGAGATTTGCACAGAAAGAAGGTCTTGGGAACTACAGAGGGGTTTCCATAGGTATTTGGCTAAGAACTGACCTACACATGAGTTAAGGAAAAAGTAACCTGAAGTCAGGGAAGACCCAAAAGACAGCAATAGGCCAAACAGTTCCCAGAGCTCACACATAGCTGAGAATTTTTACTTTATCCCTAGTCAAAACATAGGCATTAGCTCACTGAAATATCAGCATTGGAACTAAATTAGTATGAGAATAAAAATTGTTGTGGACCTGCCCTAACAATTCTTGAAAGGCAAATCCTGAAAACAGTAAACTGACTGAAACTACCTTAATTGTGTACCAAAAATATGTCTAACACTACTTAAAGATATAAAACAAAAATCTAGCATTCAAACCAAACTACACAGAATATGAACAAACATCACCCACAAGCAGGGGGAAAAATTAATCCAATAGAAAAAGACTAGAACCTGACAAATGATAAAACTGGGAGACAAGAATATTAAAGGAATTATAATAAATATGCTTACTATGTTCAAGACGGTAGAAGAAACATGAACATGATAAGAGGAGAAATGGAACATACTTGTATTTATTTATTTATTTACTTATTTATTTATTAAAGATTTACTTATTTATGCATACAAGAGCAGGGGTACAGGCCAGAGATGCGGGGAGTGAGAGGATTCACTAGACCGAGTGGGGAGCAGAACAGGCAGACTGACTGAAATACACTGCTGAGGGGAGCAGCGGGACAGTCAGGAGAGGTTTGCTGCACCATGTGGGTAGCTCCCTGGCCAACCAGGGATTGCGCACTCCTGCTGCAGAGGCTGTGGATAGCTGCATAGTGTGGTGCTTAACCCCTTGCGCCACCAGGGTGGCCCCTTATTTTTTTAAAAGCACAACCTTTGCTTTTTTTTTTTTAAAGATTCTTTTTAAAAGACTCAAAAGGAAGCTCTAAAAAAAGGTACATATTTGAAATGAAAACACAATAGAAAGAATGAACAGCAGATTAGATATTACAACTAAAAATGTCAATGTAAAAAATAAAGACATAGCAACTGAAACTATGTGAAGTGAAACACAGAAACAAAAAATGAGACAAAGGAAGAGAGCAGCAGTGACCTGTAGAATGGTATCAGGTTGTCTGACATTTGTGTATCCAGACCCCCAGAAATGAAGAGGGAGATGGGCAATATTAAAGAAATAATGGTCCTACATTTCCCACAATTAATGAAAAACTATAAACAAACAGATTGGAGAAAAATTTGGAAGGAAAAATATATAAAGAGAAAAACATGTAAAAAGAATTTAAAATCAAATTTCTGAAAATGAGTGATAGAAACAAAGATAAGAATGATAGTAAATTTCTCATCAGAAACTATGTAAACCAGAAGATAATGTAGTGAGATCTTAACAAGCATAAAAGAAAACCACTGTCAACTTCTACTACATACACATTAAAATAACTTCCAAAAATAAAAGCAAAAAGAACTTTTCAGACAAAAATCTTAAAAGAATTCATTTCCAGAAGATCTATACTAGAAGGGAAGAGTATATGATACAATGTAGAAATTCATACATATGAAAAAAACACAGGAAATGATATTGAGTGAATGTAAGACATTTTTTCAGACTTAACCACTGTTCCAAGGTTTTCAAACTATAGCTGAATTAGAACGATACTGACTCAAAGTACACTAGTATAATGCAATACGTAATGGATAGCAGACATTTAAAGAAAAAAATGACACCAAATCTACACATCTTTTGCAAAAAACTGAAGTGTTAGATACTTATCAATTAATTTTATGAGGTCAACATTACCCTAATGCCAAAAACATACTAAGAAAATACAAGGGAAGAGAACTATAGAATATTATCCCATGTGAACAAAGAGCCTTCATTTAATAAACAGTTTAACTGAACAAAACCAAATCCAGCAATATTGAAAAGGAATAATACATCATAATTAAGTAAGGTATACATATTAGAAAATCAAGCAATGAAATCTACCATATTAACATTTCATTAGATGTTAAGAATATCTTAATATGATCATGTCAATACATCTTAAGAAAAACACTAAATACAGTTCAATGCTTATTCATAATAAACAGCAAACTTGATCCAAAAGAGAATGTCCCACGGTTACATCATGCTAAATGGTGAAACCCTTAAAGCTTTCTTTCCTTCTAAGGTCAAGGCAAAGGTGTCTTCTCTCAGTACCTTCACTAAACTGGAGGTTAACATTTAACTGCAGATAAGGCAAGAAAAAAAACAAAAGACCGTGCACAGACTGCAAAGAAAAATAAAATGACTTCATTAATTAACAGGCTGCATGATTATCCTAAATATAGAAAATCTGAGAAATCTACACAAAAAGCTACTAGAATTAATGTAAAGTATGGTCAAGCAATATAGGACAAATATGCAAAATTCAAATGTTTTTCTATGTGCTAAGATGAGTAAGTAAAAACTGAAATCTTAAAAATACAAAATATTCAGGAATAAACTTACAAAAAACGTGAAATACCTGAACTCTGAAATTTATAAAACACTCTTCTGAGATATGAAAAAATAGCTAAATAACTGCAAGTATATACTACTATGCTTATGGTTTGGAAGATTAAAAATTGTTGTCAATTTTCCTCAGATTAATCTACAGTGCAATTCCACTCAAAAAGAATTCCGTAGAAATTGGCAAGCTGATTCTAAAGTTATATGAAAGCACACAAGACCTAGGATAGTCAAAACAATTTTGAAAAAGAACAAAGTTAGAGAACAAACATTAACTGATTTCAAGACTTGTTATAAAGCTACTACAATATCAAGTTATTTTAGCATTGACAAAAAAGACAAATGTACAAATCAACGAAACAGAACAGAGCCCGATAAATAAAACACATTTTATTAATTACATTTTGACAAAGGTGCCAAAGTAATTCAATGAAAAAAGGATGATCTTTCAACAAATGGTACTGGAAGAATTACATAGACAAAAAATAATCCTTCACCCACCCATACTCGAAACAAAAATTAACTCAAAATAGAATATATATCAAAATGTAAGATTTTCAACTTAAAAATTTTAGAAGAAATTAGGAGGAAATCTCTGTAATATTAGGTTAGGCAAAGATCTCATGACATAAACTTACAACAAAATAAAAACAACCAATAAACAAGAACAAAATGTTCAAAAAAAATTTGAACAAATACTTCACAGAAGATGATGCCAACAGCCAGAGAAGATGGCTAATAAGCACATGACAAGATGATCAACACTGTTAGTCACTGAGGAAAGGCAAATTATGATTATATAGGATATCGGGCCTCCCCGGTGGCGCAGCGGTTGAGCGCTGGGTTGCGAAGCTGCCCGCGGCCTCTGCGGCGCCGGTTCGATCCCCGGCTGCTCCCCGGCCACCGGAGGAGGGTCCCACATGGCACGCAGACCTCTCCTGCCGCCCGCTGCTCCCCTCAGCAGTGTACTTCGGTCCTTCTGCCTGCTCTGCTCCCTGCTCTGGCTCTGGTGAATTCTCTCACCCTCCCGCGCTTCTGACTGTACCCAGTGCTCGTATAAATAAAAACAAAACAAACAAACCAGCAAACAAATAAATAAATAAAGCATGCATCTATTAAAAAAAAAAAGATTATACAGGATATCGCTATATACTCACTAGAATGGTTGAAATTAAAAAGACTAATAATGTTAAGTATTGTCAGAATATGGAGCAAATGGAACTCTCAAGATTACCGCAAAGAATGAAAAATAGTAAAGTCACTTTAAAAAACAGTGGAAAAGTTTCTTGTAAAGTTCTACATATACTTACTACACAATCCAACAATCAATTACTTGGTATTTAACCAAGAATAGAAAACATTTATACATCAAAGACTTGTTCTTGAATGTTATAGCAACTTTCTTCATAATAGCCAAAATAGGGACTATACCAGAACACCGCTCAGCATTAAAGAATAAATGAGTAATACATTCAATAACATAGATGCATTTCAAAAATGAAATATGCCCGTCAAAAAAGCTATACATGTGATTCCCTTTAAAGGAAATGATAGAAAATGCAAAACTCTGGGGACAGAGAGCAGTTCAATGATTACCAGGACCCAGAGGTGATGGAAAATGTAATGTTCTGTACATGAATATGGTACAGTTACCCAATTGTACACAACTGTCAAATTTCATCAAATTATACAATTTTACTAAGTGTAAATTATACCTTACTAAAGGTATTTAACATAAAACAAAATATAACAAAACCAAAAAAACTAACACCACAAAAACATTCCCTGTCCTCTTACTGAACGTGTTTCGGCAGGCACTTTCATCAAAACACAACACATTACGAAATACTAGCCATATACTTAGTTAGGTACCAAGAATGCAGGAAAGTAAAAATAAACATATTCTGAAATTCTGAAATTATTCATAATACACATTTTTAAGAAGAGACATACTTCTTAATTCCTTAACACTTCCTATCTTCCTAACCCTTTCTTGTCTTGAGTTTTTAATATTACCACTGATTTGGAGAAATGAATTAATGATTGAAAAAAAATTGAAATCATAAACCAAAATAATTTCAAATCTTGTTATATGTTTTAACAAAAAAAGATTTTAAAATATAGAGAGCAAATAATGAATTGCCCAGCTATATGCTATCAGTTTTAAAATACCCCAGCACGGTTAGAAACTAGAAATATTTGGCAAGTAGGAAAAACTGGGGGAAAAATTTTACTCAAAGTATTTGAAGTTTTCCTGCTTCAGTGTATTTCCAGGACAGAGGTCAGAACTAGTAACAGAAAAATATGACTGTTCTACAATTTTGTTTCAACATGTAACAGAAGGGGTACTACACTGTTCCTTGCAACACTGACTCTGAGGTACTCTACCTTTCCTGAGGAAGGAGGAGAAGGACTAGCACAAGGACTTGGGTAACTACTACTGTCTGTAGATTTCACAGAAGATTGATCTGACCGATCATCAGTGCTTCGTTTAGGATGCAGTATTCCTCTATCTTTGAACTTCTGAGGTGGATGTAGTGCTGGAGATGGGGATTTCATCAATACTCTTGGGTGAGAAAAAGGAAGCAAAGGTCAGTTATACAAAAGTTTGTAACACAAAATGGTATTTCAAACACATTCCAATGATATTATGATTTATGAAATAGTTTTTAAATAGGGATTCTATTATATTTAGGCATTCAGAAACAATATTAGGATTAGAAAAACAACAGTTAAAAATATTTAAAATAATCTACAGAAATCTTTAACTTAACATTAACAAATACCAAGGAGTTACTTCCCTTACAAAAGTATTAACCTCTTTTATGATGGTATATAGGAGAGCTCTTTAACAATTATATTTCATATTGATATTTAATGTCTTTTTATGTCATAAAACTTACTTAAATACATCTATTCTAATGACCCTTACAAGAATATCACCTACTCCACTTTTCTTTCACTTTCATATATCTGACAACCAAGTATACTAAAAATTACAGTATGGTAAACTACAAGTGGACTAGTACTCAAGAGTAGGTTTCCCGACAGTATTAAAATTATCGCTAATTACATATGTGATACTGGGCAACTCTCTTATCTGAGCTATAATTTCTTTATCTACTAAAGGGATTATATAGGTAACAAGGTTCTTCTATTTTAAAATTCTATGACTAAATGTAATGAAGATAACAGTCAGATACCTTTATATTTTTTAAAGAAGTCTTTGTGGAGCAAACTCAAATTTAAAAAAACAATAATAAAACACTAAGTACTTTTTGAAATAGTACAATATAAAGACCACCTATAAAATATTTTTGTCAAAAAACTGGATCTAATCAAGCCCTGAAAGCTAACTGCCAAGCTACATAAAACACATAGGGTATAGCAATAAATCATGCCATCAGGAAACAAAGCGACAAATCCAGCACTGTGGGACACCTCACAGTACCACTGACCTAGGATTCTCCAGAAAGTCATCAGAGGAACTGCTCTAGATCACAAGAGACTCAACAAACATGACAACCTAATACAACGCATGAATCCTCGCCAGGTGCTTATTCAAATAAATCTTTAGTTTGAGAATTAGAGAATTGATCATTTTCCTGGGACTCTGAATGATTTTGATGATATAGGAAAAAAAAAACCTATTTTTAAGACATGCATATTTAAATATATAAGGATAAAATGACATGATATATGGGACTTAGTTTGAAATTCAGAAACAAAAAAAAAAGGATGCAAAAATGAAAAAGTGGGTAGAGGAAACAAGTAGGTGAAAATTTTGATAACTATATGGAACTCATTATGGTATATCATTTACACTGCTATGTTTAACAGTAGTTATACAAATTGGAAACAAAAGCAGTAATGTTAATAACATATTTACAGCAAAATTAGTAATGTACAAAGCTTCCAGAGTCTTACAATTATAATTAACTGTGCCTTCAAGACAAGTTAAAATAGCTACTACTTCTCTTTAACATCTTAGATCTAGGGTTCTTTCACAAATGAAATAAACCAGCAAAAACCTAATGATACGATCAAAAAAGATAATAAATGTACATCTGAATCATTAATGACAACTTTCAACTTTCATTCTGAAGTTTCCTCCAAGATTTCTTTCAAATAGAAATAAAATGTTCCCCAACCATTCCATTCAATTTTTCACTTAATAGGAACAAAGAGTTATGATAGAAAGGTAACAACGTTATCTCACTTTGTTATAGAAAAGGTATGTTTGCCCTCTGCCATCAGGTAGTATTATTTAGAAAAATGACAAGAATAAAACATTTTCAGTTTAGGGTAGGACATTAGCAATTTCCATTTCTGTAATAGTTTCTACAGTTAAGTAATAATGTTTTATTAAAAGAAATTATTATTTAATCTCTATCTTGCCACCCTGGAGTGAAAACTCTAACTACAAAACCTTTTTCTCAAAGAAGTAATCCTACAAAGATTATAACTTGTCCCTTCAAAAATAAATCTTCCTAAGAGTCCTCACTCTACTTGTCTTCAAGCCACATGAATCTAAGGTCTTAGTTATCAATATATCCAACAGTGTGAATGTGGATAAAATTCTATACCCCACTGTTCAACAGGTAACAGACTGAAGAGGGCAAGGCTGCAACTTGTAAGGAAACTTACAAGGGGAACAGAACAGGTGGATCTACTGAAATACACTGCTGAGGGGAGCAGTGGGTGAGACAGGACAGGTCTGCTGCACCATGTGGGTATCTCCCTGGCAGGGGATTGAACTTGTGCAGCAGTGGCTGTGGATAGCTTCAGAGTGCTGTGCTTAACCCCTTGCGCCACCAGGGAGGCCCTGACTGGTAGTTTTAAAGAGTCTAAAAGCCCAAAGACATCCGGTTAATTATAATTGGTGGGTTAGTTTACCAGGGTGTATTCAACAACTGAAATTTATTTCCTCACAATTCAGGGCCAGAAGTCCAAGATCAAGGTGCTAACAGTGATGGTTTATTGTACCAGTAAACTTTTAGAACAAATTTTTCCAAAAAAGAGCATTCTAAGAAGAAAATACGCTTTTTACTATTCTTTCATTCAGCAGAGTCTACATTAGGGAGAAAGTTCAGGCACACAAACTATGAGAACATTTTCTTAGCAACTGGCTGAATTATTGCCAAAATGCATTAATCAAGGACTTTGGAAACCATTAATACATTATTCTGCTTTAACTGAAGACTTTACTTTGTTTAAATAAGAAAAATCTGATCAAAAGAATTACTAAAAACAACTTCATCTGATCCTTAAAAAAGTAGTAAGCATCACATTTTTCATGTATCTATTTTCAGTTTTTTAACTATGAAATTATATTCTATGTCTCTATAGTCTTATAGAGACTTTTCTACCAATAGTACCATAACAAGCAACACAGGCAAAAATGTTTTTTATGTTATAAATTCCAATGGGTAAAGAAAAATTGCTTGAGAGAGAGAACCTTAAATTTAATTCTAATAAATGTTTCACAATCAAAAATACGTCTCCAAGTCAATGATTCACTATAACCACCAGAAAGTAAGAGCTCCCATTATTAATAATCACATAATAAGCAAAAATATAACTAATTGCTAAATACTAGAAAGAATTTAAAAAATGGCTAATTATAACAAAAACTTCATCACGACTGTTAGTTAATTTATATGCCTCCCCTCAATATAATGTAAATTCTCTGAAAAGACAGTGTCTTTTTTGTTTATTGTTACAGTCCTCATACCAAGAGCAACAAGCATTCATACTAATATCTAGGTAAGAGAGGCTAACCATTTAAACATACATAGCCAACAATTCTTTTGACATAGGGCATCTAGGAAAATGTCCCTTGGCATATATTAACTAAAATACATAACAAAAAAATACCACTATCCTTTTAACAGACACTAAATTTGTAAATTCTGGAAAGTAACCATTGAAATTTTCCTGATAAAACATTTCGTTATTAAATAACTCAGAGTTACCAGTTTAAATTCCTCCATATTAACTTAATACTTTCAATAATTATATCTTAAGAGTAAAAAACTCATCCCATTGTAGCATAACCTCTTCATGTACCTTAGAATATAAAAAACTAATTTTTAAATATTACAAAAGAATATGATATGATATGAAACTCATTTTTGGGCCTCCCTGGTGGCACAAAGGATTAAGCACAACACTGTGAAGCTGTCCACAGACTCTGCAGCACAAGTTCAATCCCCCAGCTGGCTAGGGAGCTACCCACATGGTGTAGCAGACCTCTCCTGTCTCACCCGCTGTTCCCCTCAGCAGTGTATTTCAGTCAGTCTGCCTGTTCTGCTCCCCACTCTGTCTCTGGTGAATCCTCTCACCCCCTGCACCCCTGACCCGTACCCCAGTTTTTGTATGCATAAACAAATAAATCTTAAAAAAAAAACAACTAATTTTAATGGAGAAAATGTTTCCCATTTTAACAAAATATTATAAACCTACCTTTCTGCAGTAGCAGACTCCTCAGAAAATTCGATATCTGCTGAAGTTTTCCTACTATTATTTGACCTCCAAGATGATGCCAAAGGAAGTTCTTCTGAAGACATAGGCCTTGGTCTTTGACCAATCCCAGAGGGTTGTTGTAAACCTGCAGACTGTTCTTCAGTGCTTAAAACAGCTATAATTGCTCTTATGGTAGCTTCATCAACTTGAGACCAAGGTTTGGATGGAGCTCTCATTCGGCGTAAAAATAAGCTGTGCCACTTTTGTCTAAGCTGCAGCAATAAACTGGCTGCCTATAAAAAAAATATGTTGCCCAGTTCAAATAGATAAAAGCAAAATGGGTATCACATTTGCAAGACAACTTATTTACAAAGAAACTATTTTACACTTCATATTATTTACTAATAATTCCATTATTGTATGAAATAAAATTTCTTATTTACCACATTTGAGACACTAGAGACACAAAATCAAAAGAAACAGAACAATGAGAAAGATAGTAAACAATGGGTGGTAGAATGTGATCAATTCTGGAAAAGTAACAGCAAAGTAAATGAAGAAAAATGCACCGATTCCATTCATACCTAAGTGTCTACTGAACATCCATACAATGTTGTCCAGAGAACAGCTGGATTCAGAGATCCAAAACTATGTCTAAGCTAGAGATAAAATGAACTTGGGAATAATCAATCATCAATCAGGAGCAGCGGGTGAGACAAGAGGTTTGCTATGCCATGTGGGTCACCTCCCTGGCCGGGGATCGAACTTGTGCTGCATTGGCTGCGGAGAGCTTCACAGTGCTGAGACTCAACCCCTCCCACCACCAGGGAGGCCCCTGGGTTACTATATCTAAAAGTGAGGTCCCTGGAGGTTATGCAAGGACAGTAAAAAAAGCAGAATAACAGAGTGTGGAGAACATCTAAGATTTAAGGCACCAACACATACATAAGAGCCAGTCAAAGAACCTAAGACCTCTCCAGGACAAAGAAGAACAACAAAAGATTAATGTCACAGTACTAGTGACAATGAAGTTGGGGCAAGGACGAGGGTGAAAAATACGGAAGGGTAGAATTACCAAAAAAGGATACATAGGATAGAGCCCAATACTAAAGAGAAGTCAAATTTATCAAGGACAGCAGGCTGACTTTAATAGCATGGAGGACAATGCTGACCTTGACAAGGACAATTTCAAGGAAGTGAAAGGCTGAGTGGGAATGGAAGTGAGGATGCAGTGGACTGAAGAGAGGAATGGCGCAAGAGCAAACCAGCAGCTAGTGTCAACCACTGACAACATGGCTGCCACCCACCCAAATACATCCATATAGAATAACCTTAAAAGTAAAGAGAATTAAGGAACAGCTTTATAAAAAAATTTCTTTATTTGAAAACAAAAATTCATCTCTCACAATTCATAAATATGTAAAAAGAGAAAAGTGAATGAATTCCTACCTATTAGAAACAGTTATACAAGATAAAGTGAGGGCTTGTGTATACAATATTCAGTATTTTCATATACACAGAAACACACAAATTATATCATGCTTAAACACTAAGCCACCCCTGGATTTTTTAAATCTGGTACTGGAATAAATCCCAATACAGAAGAGAATGTATGAGGACCCCATGAAAACCAAAAACTAAGCTGTATTTTCTAATAGTAAAGGTTCAACATTAAAGACAAAATTTTCATAATGGTGTACATATCAATTCAAATAACAGAATGAAAGACATGTATTATAATACTAAAAAGCAACTTACCTCTGGTTCTAGTTTGAAATTGAACCACTCATCAAGTTTCAAAGCTGCCAAATTAGCAGTAGTTCTATCTTCCATTTCACTGTCACTACTGTCATTAGGAATACCATCGGCTGCTCAAACGCAAATTGAAAACAAAAACTTATCACTTTTAACTTCTTACATCGTAGCAAAACATTAAATCAATATAGAAAATCTACTTTTACACAAATCCCCCTAATACAATTTGTTGAGCGTTCTCCAAACCCAACAGATCACAAACTAAATCTCAATACTTAGGAGGTAAAAAGATACTGTAAACACTACAATCTCTAAAACAAAATGCAATAAAAAAGACAAAAACTTAAAATCAAAGCAATCTTCAATAGTAACTGGATAAAGAATATTAAGAACTCAAAAGAAAGGAATGAGAATATAAAAGATTAAGCTATGCTCAATACTCATGTAATTCCACAAGTTTTAATTTAAATAAAAGAGAAACGGGCTTCCCTGGTGGTACAAGGGGTTAAGAACCACACTATGAAGCAATACGCAGCCTCTGTAGCACGAGTTCAATCCCTGGCCTGCCAGGGAGCAACCCACATGGCACAGCAGACCTCTCCTGTCTCGCCTGCTGCTCCCCTCAGCAGTGTATTTCAGTCAGTCTGCCTGTTCTGTTCCCCACTCTGTCTCTGGTGAATCTTCTCACCCCCCGCATCTCTGGCCTGTGCCCCAGCTCTTGTATGCATAAATAAATCTTTAAAAAATAAAGAAATAAAAGAGAAACTACCCTAAATACATCTTGAAAAAAGTATAAAACCCAATGATTTCATTAATATGAAATACTAAGTTATTTTTTTTGTATTTTATACAATGAAAATAGCACAACACATACAGCACAATGGATAAAAGAAAAATATGGAAACACAGAAAAATACATAGTATTAAAAAGCAGTCACATAAGAATAATGGGTATACACGTGACTATACAATATTTCTTTTTTTTTAAAACATTTATTTATTCATTTTATTTGTTTACACAGCATTGGGTACAGTCAGAAGCGTGAGAGAATTCACCAGAGCCAGAGCGGGGTGCAGAACAGGCAGAAGGACCGAAGTACACTGCTGAGGGGAGCAGCGGGCGCAGCAGGAGAGGTCTGTGCGCCATGTGGGACTCTCACCGGCGGCCGGGGATCAAACTGGCGCTGCAGGGGCTGTGGGCAGCTTTGCAGCCCAGCGCTCAACCGCTGCACCACCTGGGAGGCCCTACAATATTTCTTTACTTACATTCACCTATCATTTAAATCCAAGTGGAAAAGAAAAGCAAACTTCCTATTAGCTAGATTAACTAAAAAGACACAATCACCATGCATGATTGACTTAGAAATCAATTTTAAGAACAGTGGTACGCTGTAGTGTTTCCTCAATCTTTACGTACCAAAAGGGCACTACTACATGAATTTTAATGATTTCACACTTTGGTTTAGTGCAAAAAAGAAAAAAAATCTCATCTCGGATTATTTCCTTTTAATCCATTTACCTCTGAATGATGAAGGTTCTTGAAGAGCATTACTTGCCAACCTCGCTGGTCCACAGAACACCAATACAGTGACAGGTGTCACTGCTGAACAACATCTAATATTAGCTATTCTATGTGCTCTGGTCATTTCATCATAAATAAGCCAATCTGTGGGAAGCGCCTGAATTGCTGCAGCTTGACCATTGGCTGGAGGAATCTATTAGGAAAATAAATCAAGAAATTGTTAACTGTATTTATCACTAAATTTACTAACACTTTTAAAATGTATAAAGTCCTTCAATGAAATAGATGTATATTAGAATCAAGCAAAAAAGAATGCAAGTTATTGTTCACATAGTTTGTATGAAAGTCCTCGTGAATTAACGCATTATTCCTTCCAACTCTACAATTCTATTAAAATTTTGCTTCAGTGTTGAGTTACACACCCATAACTAATTTCTTAAAGCATGTGGGTATTTGGAGCATTTTTCATTGATCTTGGATCTAAATTAGTTTCACCTCAAGACCTATGAGCATTAAAAATGTTTACCTTTTTATATTGAGGCTGACTGAGAACTGATGTGGGATGAAACCGCACTTTTTTCTCCTTTGGCCCTGTCAATACTACATTTTCTCTGTCCACATGGACTAAATTAGGATACATGCCTGCCACCAATGCAGCTTTAACGACAGCCCAGTTCTCGGAATTTGTGTTAACATCTCGAATATCACCACCACCTCGTGCTCTAACAAAACCTAGAAAACAGGGAAAAAAACCACACCAACTTTTCCTATTGTACAAAATACACTTATAAATTTGTGGTTTTTACAAAGTATTGCATAACCTATTTTAGTGATATTCGAATTTTACAATAAAATTCCCTCTGGAAATTTAAGGTCCAACAAAGCTCTGATTTACTCAGGCTAATGTTAGCAGTAGAGTCACTGGGGACACAGGGACTTATGAAAATTACATTGTCTTCATAAGGTTCTTCATAAGCTGCTACCAAGACATGCACAACAGCTGAAAACTAAATCACTGTTTTGACTTCTATAAATGACATTTTGATTATGACAGACACTAATATTGGGAGTGAAGTCAAATAAATAAAGACTATTTTTGCTGTAATTCTACAGGACCTTCATATTCCCCACATCTGAGACAACCTTATATATACTTTGGTTCATTTCTTACATTACTTTTGAACTTCGGGTAATTTATGAATCCAGGCTTTGTAACTTTTCTTGTGACTATTTCAATGTAGTACATACACTGCTCAGAAAAGAAATTCAAAGAAGCAATTCTAAAAGGAAATAGCAATACTGGCATAGTCTTAAAAAAAGAAAATTAAATGCCTTCAAGCAGTTGTTTGATATTCCAAAAATATGAAGACCAGAATTCATGTCAATTTACTTAACATTCTTTTATTGTTAGTTTAATAGAACTAAATAACTGTATATTAATACATGAAAAATTGAACTACAATATCTAAACTGACCTTTGCCAACAATTATAAGTTGCTCACTGCCAATAGTTTAAAGAGATATTAATATATTTCTAGATTAAAGTTTCTGCAGAAACTGTCGTATTTTCTTTTAATCAACAGTCGATGTCACATATTAATCTACAAAGCAGTTTATAAATAGAAGCTATACAACAATGTGATATCACAAAAATTAGATGACATCAGTTAACACTAGAAAACAATGAGGTATGGGGGCAGGGCACTCTCAGTTGTTTAAATAGGTTCTTTGGAGGAAAGCTTTACCTGATGCTCTTAGTTGACCAAGCAACTGAGTTCTCATGCCTATGATTATTTCCATGGTAGCTTGTGAAAGGAAATTCTTTTCACAAAAGGCTCGCTCCCAACCATCACTTCGTGCTTTCTGCCATGCCTATAAAAATATAATTAAATACAAGATACACTGACCAATCATTTCTTAGTGAGGCAGTAACTGAAAAGGCATTACATTAACCATTCAAGGTCACTTCTTCTCTATAATTTTATAATCAAATAAAACTTAACATTAGTTGATTTATACTCAAATGCTATAAAAGTCACAGAGTTTATAAAAGCCCAGTGAGAACTAAATATCAAGTAACCTAAATGACCAGCTATCTAAAAATATTTAGCTTTTCAAAAGTGTTTATTTTTCTACAAAGTGTGAGAGGTTTTCAACTAAGCCATCACACACACCACCGTTTATATCAAAGAAGCCTGCCACTCCAGTTCTCTAAAAATAACATCTATGTCAGCTTCCTAATGTGTATTAAAAAGGAAAGTGAAATTTTTGGAGGTCATCTACATGCAATACAAGAAAGCTCCTCTTTGAAAATGAGTGTTTTGCTAAGCAAAACTTAACTTCTATGTTATTGAAGGAGCTAGGAAAAAAACAAAGGCTAGGAATTCTATTCCATGTCTACCTCTAATTATCAATTTATCAATCAACTGATCTACTATCATATACAGTATTTACCAGATCCATTTAATAGTAATCCATTATTCAATAAGCTCACAAAAGAGCTTGTGATTATTTTTAAATATATATACTGAAAAAAAATCCCTTATGCCTGGAAAAAGAGTACTCTCTCAATAACAAAATGAAATTTTTTTAAAATGTATACAGCCTGCATTTAAGAGAATTAAATGATAAATAAACATGTCTACTTTTCAAGATATACAATATTCTTTCCCACACATCTGAATGTCTAAATTGTGTACCATTTTCTTTCCTCAAGAATTCTATTTTTCCTTTCTTATTTTTAACTTTCCTCAATCTCTCATTACTATTATCTAAATAGGTTTTAGGTGATTTTTTAATTTGTTTTATAAAATTAAGTTATTAGCATAGTGCCTCAAGCATACAAGAAAAGATGCACACTTAGAAAAGAAAATCAATAACCATGTTAAATTTAATTTTCTTCCATGTTTGTTCTACATATTTTGAATAATACATAATGTCTCTTAACAAAGACAAGTTTCTTACCCAAAATCTGACTGAAAGGAATGAGGTAATAAATAAATATGAGTACAAATAAAGATATATAGCATATATAAAAAATACATACATACACATACACACACATACATACAAGTATATTCCCACAAGGATAAAACAGAAAATTTTTTTTAAAAAGTAGAGAAAAGCTGATAAAATTTTAGCACATTAGCAGAAGGAAGACATTTTTCTGGGTCATTAATAAAATGCAACGTTATAACGAAACAAAATTAATCATATCTACTTTTTTGTGACTTTGGTCTCAGAAATGCTTAACAAGCAACATTTTCAGGAATAAAATAACAATAGTACCTGGAACGCTCTCAGAAGAGCCATATGGTCACTGAAAGTTCCTGCAGTGAAACGTTTCCTACAAAGCATAGCTGCACGTTTTTGAGAGGCCTGGGTAGGTAAGACAAAAGGATCGCGATAGGCTAGGGTGCAGGCGATCGTAAGAATGGGGTCCAGACACTTTAAAACAACAGCACACAGGACCATTTTGCCAAGATGTGGCTCTACTGGCAAATCAGCCAAATGATATCCGAGTTCAGTGAGATCTTCCCATGTATCCATTGCATCTATTGTCTAAACAGGACACAAAACAGAATTTGACATGACCAAAAACAATGTTTAATCAAACCACATACTTAAAAATCTGTAAGAAATAAGAATCTAAATTTTCTTTTGCTACATCCTATAAAAATGTTTTGCTTCAAATATACAAAAAGGAACTATAATTAACCATGAACATATCACTCAAAATAAATGACCATTTTATTTAAATACAAAATTAGTTATAATTATTCTCACTTGGTTTAAAATTTCAACTAGAATAGTCATATTAAACAAAACTATAAAGATACAAACCTTAAGCATTTGTACAGCATTTCTTACAATTAAAGTTGGTGGAGGTTCAGGAGCTTTCATAAGGAAATCAGCAATAGGACAATTAACTGGGGCTAACAGCTTGGTATGTAAACAAAGTTCCTGTAAATAAGAACAGCAAATGTTTTACAACTAATTTTTATTTATACGTTGTCCCCTGTGTCAGAATCTTAAGAAGCACCCTCCCATCAACTCTTAGTTAAGTTACCACTGCTCCCACTGCAATGACTCCTTATACTATATGTAACAATTAGAACCACAGTTAAAGACAACTTTCCCACCTTAGTTTCATATTTCACAATCTTTTATACATTCGAGATATAGTAAAGTGAACGGCATTATGCAGCGAGGTGGGAAAAAGAAAGGACAAAAGGATAGATGTCAGTCCTTGTGGCATTTTCATTGTGTATGAAAAGCAGACCAGTTATATAATTAACTGCTTAATTCAACTGTGCTAAGTGCTAAGAAGGAAACAGGGAGCTAAAGAAATGGAACAAAAGATTTACATTCGGAAAAGAGCAAGGAAAGAAAGCAGAAGTCAAAAGGCAATTTCTCTAAGGAAATGACTCATAAACTAAGAAGTAAAGACTGAGTAGAAATTAGTTATAATGAAAATAAAGGGAAAGATTCCTGGGAGAGAAGATATGTGAAGGTCCTAAAATAGAAAGAAGATGTGCTTGAGAACCTGAAACTACTGATATGAGCAGAGAGCAGAGGAAAACCAAGAATTAAAAAAATTAAAATGGGAGACACACACAGGAGAGACGATTAGGTTTCTGTTGAGAATTTTGCATTTCATCCTAAGAACAGAACATGGCACATAGATGTTGGTAGGTGGGAAGTGATCTAGGTGCATGAATGACAAAACCATCATCAAGTATTTCTTCAAAGGGCTGAAGTCAACATCTTGCTCAGTATGCCAAAGAATCAAATTAATATAGTTTCTTCCCACAAACTATACAGTATCTAGCTGTTCCATAAAGTTAGGAAAACAATTTAAAAAGGCCAGGAAACCAAGCTCCAAAAGATCAGGTTATTATCTTGTGTTCAAGCTCCAAAAGATTAGGTTATTATCTTGTGTTCTTAGTTAATTTATTCTCTAATTTTCACTGAGAACATAAAAAATGAACATTGTGTGACTGACACACTCCTAGAATATTACATGACAACAACAATATATTTATAAACTGTACTATAATTTAAATGTACCCATGTAATTCTTTAAAATTTTGGAGGTTAATGAATTAAATTTTCCTGAATAGAAAAAATATTGCTTATATACATAGCCACATACATACTTATGTGAAAATAAACTTATTTTTATAAATCCATTTAGTATATGCTGAAATGGTCCTCCTTCTTCTTCACCTGCAAAAATAGCCTCTTAGAGTTAAATAAATTTCTACCTGTAATGGCATTCTCAAGAGTTCTGGAGTCTGAAATTCCAACATATTCTGGAATCGGAGTCTACTAAATAGCCGGAAACAAATTCCAGGTCTGCATCGTCCAGCCCTTAGAAGTAAAATATATTATTAGGCTAAAATAAGGAATAAAAACTGTAATAAGAAAACCACAAAAGCAATGTGACTTAGGAAACAGAACAATGAGCTAGGATCTAGTCATTTATATTTGAATCCTTAAACTGATACTTATCCCTGATGAGTAAGTCCTTTCATAAGGCGCGTAATTTACAAATGGCACAGATCTGATATATGTTTTAAGACAGTGACAAATTTTCTTTTTTAATAGAGGCATGCTATTTATTTATTTATTTATTTATTTGCTTGTTTGTTTTCTTTATACATGCACTGGGTACAGTCAGAAGCGCAGGAGGGTGAGAGAATTCACCAGAGCCAGAGCAGGGAGCAGAGCAGGCAGAAAGACCGAAGTACACTGCTGAGGGGAGCAGCGGGCGGCAGGAGAGATCTGCGCGCCATGTGGGACCCTCCTCTGGTGGCCTGGGAGCAGCTGGGAATCGAACCGGCGCCGCAGAGGTCGCGGGCAGCTTCGCAACCCAGCACTCAACCGCTGCACCACCGGGGAGGCCCGACAAATTTTTTTTTTTAAATGACATAAGTATTGGGCCTCCCCGGTGGCGCAGCGGTTAAGTGCTGGGTTGCGAAGCTGCCCACGGCCTCTGCGGCACTGGTTCGATCCCCGGCTGCTCCCCGGCCACCAGAGGAAGGTCCCACATGGCGCGCAGACCTCTCCTGCCACCTGCTGCTCCCCGCAGCAGTGTATTTCGGTCCTTCTGCCTGCTCTGCTCCCCGCTCTGGCTCTGGTGAATTCTCTCGCCCTCCCGTGCTTCTGACTGTACCCAGTGCATGTATAAACAAAACAAACAAACAAACAAATAAATAAATAAAACATACCTCTATTTAAAAAAAAAAAGTATGAACCTGAGTAAAAAAAGAATGAACAAATACACAAGGAACAATGAAAAAAATGGATATATGATGATGTAAATTTAATCAAGTTTACTAACTTGATAGCAAACAGTATGTTGCGGTCCATATTTTAGAGTTGTGCAAATTATGCCCTACATTAACTACCGATGAGGGAGTGCCGTTTACTTCATCAGTGTAGAGACTTACGTATAATTTTATGGCTAGTAGAAAAATATCTTGAGGAAAAGCAGTTTCTTAATTTCACATAAAATCAACAGATTTGCTAATGCTAAGTGACAGAGATACAGAAATATACTCTCCTCACAAAGCTCACAGTCAGGAAGCAAACATTAACTGCAATACAACGTAATATATGTTACAAAATCTAACATTGTTAAATATTATCAAATACTTCCCTCCCTAAACACCCTTTAGCTTTCCCACTTCAGCCTTCCCTGAGAGTTCTATCTTTTCCCAGTCCTTCATTGTTGATGTTCCGCTCAAATTAATCTTCAGCGTTTGCTCTCCATTTCTTTCTTTATTTTTTTGCGTAGAAGAACTGGGGTGTAGGTGGTGAGAGGACTCACTAGAGACACAGTGGGGAGCAGAACAGGCGGATTTAATGAAATACAATGCTAAAAGGAGCAGAAAGCGAGATAGGAAAGGTCTACTGTGCCATATGTAAGTTAGTTCCCTGGCCGGGGATCGAACTCAGATCAGAGTGGTGATAGCACTGAGACTTAACCCCTAGCCACCAGAGAGGCCCCTCTCCATACTTTCAATTACCCTACATATTTCAATTTCTAATCATCTAGATCTCTCTTATCTAGACCCTATTTCATAAGTCTCATAGCTTCACTTATATTTTTTATAGTCAATTCCAACTCCATACAAACAAAACTTAATTCTCCTCCCAACGTAACCACTCTTTCCATTTTTTCTATCTAACAATGATACCATCATACATAAAATTTTCTATGACAGATATCTAGATGACAACCTCGTCTACACTCTATTTCTTAACCTACACCCCATGGACATACACAATCACCAATAGCTCCTTAATATCTCAAAGTAATTATCTAACTTCTTTTTTTTTCTACCACCACTAAAACAATCAGGGTTCTCTCATTTTCCATAATGGTAAATAGATAGAAGAATTCATGAAATCCTGATACCATCATTTTTGTCTCTACCAATTCATTCATTAAAAAACAGAATATAATAATCAAGACCCCACCTGGTTTATTGAAAAGAGAAAAAACAAAGTAGTCTTTAAGGACATATCCATGACCACTACTACTTTCTGTTTGTTCCTCAATACTCTCCTTTAAATTAAACTCTACCCACAATAACTTTTTTGCTTCTAGGCCTTTGTGTAGCATTATCTACTTGCAGAACAGACCACACAATATAGTATTAAAATCACTAATTTATTGGACTCCATTTCCTCAGCTCATTGACTGTAATTTATTACCCAATGACTGTAATTTATTGATTATAACATATCAAACAATTGCACAGTGAAGGCTGTCAAAAATATGTTGAAAAAGATAACTGAACATTCTACAATTTCTGATCTTTATCCCTGATAATATACTATAATCATTGTGTATTATATTGTATATAATAGTGTGTGTGTGTATATATATTATTGTATATATAACATTGTAAATGTATCAGGCCAAACTTTCTCATAAGAAGTTAACTGACACACTAAGAACTAGGCTTTTAAGAGCATTCCATGAAGTTAAAGAGTAAAGGTACAATGCATTCAGTTTTCAGCATATGATGCTGTTTTTTAAAGTCAGCATCAATATTTTCCTATTAGTTAAAATGTATTCGTCAGATAATTCTGGAAAATGACATTTTAATCTTGCCATTTTAAAAAATGAAAAATTAATGCAAGCATGTATTAAAAAAGTAAAAAAAAAGGTATAAAATGAAAACTAAGTCTACTTCTTCCAAGATCCCCACCAGTCCTCCTCCACAGAATTAACAACCATTTTTTCTTAATGCTCTTCTCAGACCTGACCATGCCTATGTGTCTAAATACAAGTTCAAACATATACATCTCTTCTAGCACTGGAGTGTAGATATGAGTTCTATGCTTTTTTCAAATTATTAATATATTCTGAAAACTCATTCCCCATAAAACATACATCTGCACCTTTAACTGCACCTAGACTATCATGAGGCTGTAAGAAAACCACTTTGCTACCAATGAGTACTACAGTGTCCCCAGACTTTACACTATTAGAAATGATGCTACAAAGATATTTTTAAATACACAAAACTTTGCACACATGTAAAAGTACATTCACAATAAATGATGAGACTCCACCATCAAAGGGCAGATAAATATTTTAACAGTGTCAAACTGCCCTCCAAAGAAGTCATGCCAATTTACACTCCCATCAGCACACTATGAAAATCTATCAGCCCATGCTTTTGGCAATTGTTTTGTGTACTATTAAACATTTTCACTGATGGCAGTCTGATAAGTAAAAAATAGCACTTCATTAATTTACATTTCTTTTGATACATGAGATGCTGTATGTGAGGCTAATGAAATGGTCTTTAACTTATTTTAATGGTGTTCTTATATAATAAGGAAATTAGTCTTATTCTAGAATGCAGATATTTAGAACTTCTGCTTTACTTTTTAAATTTCTTACATCTTTTGAGTGTACCTTATACTAGGTAAAAATTTTGAATTTTAACGTAACCAAAATTCATCACAACAAAGTATTAAAGTGGTTTGCAAAAGTAACATAAAAATTAAAACACTAAAATGTTAACATTTCACAGAAAGTAAAATTTATGTTAAATATTTAATATATATATATTAAGATTTCTTCATTTTACAGGCAACTGAATAAATGTACATTAAATATACATTACCTGCCTTTCCGCTGTATGGCACTAGCTTTGGAAATCCATACCATTTTTAACATTGTAACAAAATTCAATGCATCAAAGGATTTCTGTAAAATTGGAATCATCTTCATGTTAAAATTGAGATGTACTTAACAAGAAATAGCAAGAAACATTATGATCTATTTAACATACCATGTTTAATTCAAAGCCCCCCTCGATTACATAATCAGAACAGGATACTGATTTTTAATAATCCAAATACTGGGCCTCCCTGGTGGCGCAGCAGGTTGAGCGCAGTACTGTGAAGCTGTCCGCAACCTCTGCAGCATGAGTTTGATTCCTGGCCAGCCGGGGAGATTCCCACATGGCGCAGCTGACCTCTCTTGTCGCGCCCACTGCTCCCCTCAGCAGTGCTTTTGGTCTGTCTGCCTGTTCTGCTCCCCACTCTGTCTCTGTCTCTGGTGAATCCTCTCACCCTCCCGCACCTCTGGCCTGTACCCCAGCTATTGTATAAATAAAAATAAATCTTAAAAAACAAATAAATAAAAATCCAAATATTTGATTATAAATACCCTTAGGAAATGAATAGAAACTAAAGCAAAAAGTTGTAAAACTTTCACATTCTGTGTGTTGCTGTTTCTCTCTGCTACGGTTGGATAGTAGCTATCAATTCTCATCAAGACTGTAAAGAACTGATCTATTCTCTTGAGGTTATTTTTTACCAAATTTATTTCATTGTAGAGAATAGGAGAGATCAGGGAAAGACAATTTCTGAGATACTTTCCATGGAGCTGAACCGAATGAGTAAGAATAACAATGATTGTTCAGTTAATCCATTGTACAGTGAAAAATTTCTAACTCATTTCTTTTTACCTTCTGCAGACCTGCTAATGCAGTTAGCCTATCCACAGCATTACAAAAGAGAAAATAAAAAGGAATATACTACCCTCATACTTCCCCTTTTATAAAATAATTATATAGAGTATATACAACTGGGTTGGTTGGTTTGTTTTTTTAAAAGATTTATTTATTTATTTATACAAACACTGGGTACAGTCAGAAGCGCGGGAGGGTGAGAGAATTCACCAGAGCCAGAGTGGAAAGCAGAGCAGGCAGATGGGCGAAATACACTGCTGAGGGGAGCAGCGGGCTGCAGGAGAGGTCTGCGCGCCATGTCGGACCCTCGCAGGTGGCCGGGGATTGAACCAGCGCTGCAGAGGCTGCGGGGAGCTTCACAGCCCAGCGCTCAACTGCTGCGCCACCAAGGGAGGCCCCTACAACTGGGTTTTTATACAGCATTTAGGAAAGATGATTACTTTTGAATAAAATGTTACATTTGTAAATTTTTTATGTAAAGTAACTTTTGACACAATGGTTAGGTTGTAAACCATGGTTTACTTAGTAACACCTGAAATAAATTATATCTAAAATATTCAAAATCCACTTCATTGGTTTTAGATCATTATAGAACAGTAAACCTAAGTTTTCACTGACTCGCCATTCATACTTTAGTGATAATATTTACTATTACCCTTAAAAAAAAAATCCCTCCTGTACAGTATCCAGCTATAATGACATGTTCAAATTTTATAACAAATTTCATTTTCTATAAGATATACCTAAAAATTATATAGTAAAATTAACAGAACAAAATTTCTCACATTAAACATTATTATTTATTTAGATCATGAGGGCAGAGTTCTGATGAGTGGAATTAGTATACCTACAAAATAGATTCCTGAGACACCATCCCCTACGCCCCTACCTTTCACCATGTGAGATACAGCAAAAGGTAGCATATGTGAACCAGGAAGTTGGTTCTTACCAGACACCAAGTATGTCAATGCATTGGCCTCAGATTTCCCAAACTCCACAACAGGGAGAAATAAATTCCTAGAGTTTACAAGTCAAAACTAAAAATTCTCAAAAAATTTAAATAATCATTTATATCCACTAAGACATATTTTGCTTTCCACAACATGCGTTGTTTTTCTTACCCTAATATATCTACCTCTATCACTTTCAATTCCTTCATAAAAGGATCTAACAAAGTTAAGGGTACTGGGCAATCTAATACTAAGAGGGAAAAAACTCTGTAGTTGACAAACTGTTTCTGTAAAGAGCCAAAGAAGAAATATTTTAGCCTCTCAGAGGTCTCCATTACCACTACTCAAATCACCCCCTGCAGTGCAAAAGTAGTCATAGTTAATAGGAAAGAGTGGGCATGGCAGCATTCCAATGAAAATTACTCTTTTTTTTTAAGATTTATATTAAAAAAAAATACAGGGAATAGGCCAGATGTGCGGGAGGGTGAGAGGATTCACCAGAGACAAAGCAGGGAACAGAACAGGCAGACTGACGAAAAACACTGCTGAGGGGAGCAGCAGGCACGACAGGAGAGGTCTGCTGCACCATGTGGGACCCTCCCCAGCCAGCCAGGACCACAACAGCGCTGCAGAGGCTGCGGACAGCTTCACAGCGCTGCATTCAACCACCCGCACCACCAGGGGAGACCCTCCAATGAAATTTACTCTTACAAAAGTGGTGATAGGCCTAATTTGGCTGCTGGAGATCACATATTGACCCCTGATGTTATGTTTGTTTAATTTCTATCAGCATCATCAGTTAGAACTAAGTATCTTTTAAATATCATTACATGTAAAGCACTGGAGATATAACAATGAACAATAGAAGAACAGAATCCCCATAAGGAGGAAAACATACAAAATAATGTAATCAAATTCCCACACTGACACAATTTTCACTGTAACTGGACAAACCCTTTACTTTCTTCCTAGTATTGAGTAAAAGCTAAACTTCTTGTATAATTTGTAAAAAATAACAAGATAAATCCTATGTAATAAGTTGTTTAACGTAGAATATTCACTTCAGTGAAATCAATATGTTAGAATCATCTACAACCAGAAAATTTCTCATTTAAGTGAATTCTACTTATAAAAGCATTTATTAAAATGAAACTTAACTGTGCATTAAGTAAACTACATCTTATTCATACATACCTCTTTCACCTTGCCAGAATCAATAACAAAGACCACATCATTGACTGTGATGCTGGTTTCAGCAATATTGGTGGAAAGAATCTGCAGTAGGATATTAAGTTATAGTTAATATGAACACAGAAACAATGACTAGTAGAAATGGTAAAGAGAAAACTTTATAAACCTTACTATTTTTCGAACACCTGCAGGTGGGTTTTTTAAAACCTTCTTTTGATCAGATGTTTGCATATTTGAATGAAGCATAAAGACTTGGTATCTGTTGACAATTGAAAGAGAAAATACATTATGGTACCAATCTGCTATTTAAAGCAACAAAAATAAAATTCTGTCTTTTTTACCTATGTGTATTGTCAGCAAAACGCTTATCATCAAATAGTATTCGATCTCTCAGTCCAACAATTTCATCATACCCAGGTAGGAAAATTAATATTGCACCTTAGAGAAAAACAATATTAAATCTCACTGTAAAGTCAGAATCAATCAACAGAACAAGCTACAATAAACCACATGATGTAGTTCACACATGAAATAGTATTTATAATTATTACCAATGTAATTATATAAAACTTGATACACAAAGTATTTATTTTTAAATCAAAGTATGCATTTTTGTTCTACAGTTCTTTTAGAAAGTATTTACTTACCAGCATCACAACTATGGCAGATATTGTACAGAAGGTGCATGATCAAATCCAAGTCCACTTTTTCATCATCAAAACTATGATGATAAGCTTTCAGGAGCTCTCTGTCTTCAGCACTGAGGTCACTTCCACTTGTTTGAACCAAAGAACTTTCATCTAGATTTCCGAATTCCAATGAAGCACTTAAAAAAGAAAAAAAGACCAAGGACACTGTCATTAAAAAGAATAACCCTTAAAAGGCCAATTATTTCCACTAAGTTCTTCTTTGAATTTTCAGTACACCCTAAGAATGGTAACTGATATTTAAAGTTATAGCTAAAATTTATGTTTTAGTTTCATGTACATTATTCAGAGTGAAATTTGGCAATAAGTGCTCCGAAAAAATCCATTCTGGAGACATTTCTCCAAAGAAAATATATAAATAGCCAATAAGCATATGAAAAGATGTTCAACATCACTAGACATCAGAGCAAAGAAAATCAAGACCTCACTAAAATATAACTTCACATCCACTAGGAGAACTATAATCAAAAAGACAGTTAACACTAGGTATTAGAGTATGTGTGGAGAAACTGGAATGCTGTTCATACACACTTCTGTGGAAAACGCAAAATGGAAAACCATGCACCAGTTCTTCAAAATGTTAGACATTGTGTTACCAAATGCCCCAGCAGTTTAACTTACAATTAACTTACAAAAAAAATAAAAACATATGGCCCCACTGTCTACAAATGTTCATATTTCAATTTCACTCAAATGATAATCAGTTGATGGATGGATAAACAAATTGCACTCTATCCACAGAATGAAGTATTCCTAAATTATAAGAAAGGTGCTATCCCCCTATGTTTATAGCAGCACTATTTACAATAGCTAAGCTTTGGAAACAGCCCAAATGCCCAAAAATAGATGACTGGATCAAGAAGATGTGGTACATATATACCATGGAATATTACTCAGCATTCAAAAAAGATAAACACATGCAATTTGCAGCAACATGGATGGCGCTGGAAGGGATCATGCTCAGCGAAATAAGCCAAAAAGAAAAAGAAAAATACCGGATGGTCTCACTCATAGCAGGAATCTAGAAAACTTAAATAAGGGATCAGGAAAATGAATAACTATAAGAAAGTGAAAATCAGGGCCTCCCCTGGTGGCACAGCAGTTGAGCGCTGGGTTGCAAAGCTGCCTGCAGCCTCTGCAGCGCTGGTTCGATCCCCGGCTGCTCCCCGGCCACTGAGGAGGGTCCCACATGGCGCGCAGACCTCTCCTGCCACCCGCTGCTCCCCTCAGCAGTGTACTTTGGTCCTTCTGCCTGCTCTGCTCCCCGCTCTGGCTCTGGTGAATCCTCTCACCCTCCCGCGCTTCTGACTGTACCCAGTGCTTGTATAAATAAAAATAAATCTTAAAAAAAAAAAAAAAAAGTGAAAATCAAAATCAACAAAAAACTATGAACCAGAGACACTTTTTGGGGGGTGGGGGCCGGGAGGGGAGGGATTGGGGTCAGAATGGGGCATGTGCAGTTGTATGGGGGAATATAAAAATAAAATTTATTATTTAAAAAAAAAAAAAAGAAAAAAGAAAGGTGCTATCACATGGATAAACCTTGTAACTATCATCCTAAGTAAAAGAAGTCAATCACAAGACTACATATGATTCTATTTATATGACCTATGCAGAACAGACCAAGCCACAGAAAATGGAAGTATCAATCAATATATTAGTGGCTGCTAGGGTCGGTAGAGCAGGGGAAATGAGGAGTGACTACCAATGGCACAGGTTTCTTGTGGGGTTATGATGTTTTCTAAAAATTGACTGTGGCATGTAACTATGAACATGCAAAATCCCATTGAATAGCCCTCATTAAAAAATATTCTATAGCTACCAGCTTATTAAGATCAATGTTAATTTCGTCATTTTATACAAAAAGCAGGCTGACTTATTTTCCAAAGGCCAAAATCAGGATACATTACTGAAATAAATACCATTCTGTATGTAAAAAATATAAACTACTGTCATTACAAGTAATTATCAGTAAGATTTCTAGGAAGCTAATTCAGCCAATTTTGAAGAGCATATAAGGAAAATAACATAAAACTATTTTCAATAAAGAAAATATTAAACTTATGCAACTTTACAATAGCACTATTTTAAATTTCAAGATCTATTTTAAAGCATCCAAAGTTTTTTCTTCTTTTTACTTGTTAATAAGTGAAATGTTCTCTTTTTAAAGCTATAAGCCTTAGATGTCAATTACCAGTAAGTCAACAAACCTAATAAACTTGATTTTAAATATTCGAAATTTCTGATTGATGTCATGATCTGCAGAATCAACAGCAAGCTCAATTAGCCAGGATAATTCAAGTATTATTCAGGTAATGGCTTTACCTGAATATAATGTCTAGTGTGTTATACCTAATATCTTAAGAAAGGCTAAGCAGGGCCTCCCCTGGTGGCGCAGTGGTTGAGCACTGGGCTCCGAGGCTGCCCGCAGCCTCTGCAGCGCTGGTTCGTTCCCCGGCCACCAGCGAGGGTCCCGCAGGGAAAAAAAAAAAAGAAAGGCTAGGCATTAGTACTAAAAGGAATGTAGATTTGGGGCACTATTTTTCAAAAAAACAAGAAAACCCATCATGCCAGAATTAGCATTATAATCTGCCGAGAACTTTGAGACTATATTTACTGAAAATAAAATGACATAATTTACAGCATACGTCAAACATTTATTTTATCTAATGTCTGAGACTACATCTATAAAATTTATTATCAATACACAAGTCGGATAAAACATTTTCTATGTTCTTGAATAATGGCGGTTTTATCTTGACTTCAGACTCCACTTTTTTGAGACTCGAAACAGAATCAATATGCTATAAAAAACATTTCCCTTAAATTTCTAATAAATCTTTTTAAATTTTTTACTTTAAATATTTAATCTAAAATCTACATAATTCTAGTATCTAATCAAAATCCATATAAAACCTTTAAACATCTAATTGATTAGTTTCATAGAACAGTATTGTCCTGATGTTTTTCCAAACCAAAGTAAAACAAGTATATGGTGTTAACATATTGTTTCATAAAATTTTAACAAAACCCTTTTTCATTCCTAATCACACTGCCTAAGATCTTTTCCTCTGTTCTTCTAGCTACTTCTTTTGAGATCTACTGCCACATTTCTAAGTAACATGCATCGTTTTCATTTACTGATTTAATAATTTAAGTCATTGTCTGTGAATCACCAAGAAATATGAGGTCATCACCAACTATTCCGCTATATCGCTATATACTTTCTACCCAAACCAATCCATACAATTTTTACTACATATTCATTCAGTCTTTACTGTAACAATATAAACATTATTTACTACTGAAGCAAACTGAACTATGATTCCACTTCCTATCGTCTACAAATTTTTGGTTTCCTCAAGTAATTATTGTCTAATTTTTACTTACTTCGTTTTCTGTGTACCAAATCTCCAACAAAGTAACAAAGGCTTTCTATCCTGTCAGAAACATCAGGTAAGCTTTGAACCCCCCGTCAGATTCCCTACTGGGACTCTCCATCTTCAATTTCTGTGAAATAAGCCTGCCAGGGCAGCTGTCTTGGGAACTCTCCTCTGCACCAGCATACTGGCATTTCCGCACCTATCCCCTGACTCAGATTTATTAGGTTTTTCTCTCTTTGACTTCTTCATTTTTATGACAGTATTCTTTAACAGCTGCCTGACAAAGGATACTTAGAAAATACATTTTCTTATCTTTTTTCTGCAATTTGCCATCTCATCTTTTTTTCCTCCACTTTCTTTAACTACTCTCTCAATTTCACCTTGCAGCCCTTTGGCATTTTTTTCTATAACATGTTTAATTTTAAAGAACTATATCTTGTTTATTCTTTTAGCAAATATTCACTGAACATCTACTATACCTAGGGACTGTCATTGTGAAAAGGTGACAAGGAGCAAGAAGTTTACTGAATGCCACTGGAGAGAAAAGACATGCAATAAAGAAATGAAAACAGTAATTAAGTCAATTATACAGTTTATCAGAAGGTAAACTGTTGGTTCTACAGATGAAAAGTAAAAGTAGAGTAGGTTAAGGAAAATTAACAGTACAGTGAGGCAGCTGACTATAATGGGGTCAATTTCAGTATCCAAGTGAACATGAAATTTAAAGGAAGATTTGTGTTCTCTCCCTTTTTTACTAGATATGATCTTTGTTTCATAAATGAAATTATCTTTTATTATTTTTTTTCTGATCACTGAGATAATAACTAGCCTACATTTGTCACATTTGATGGTTAACATGGCTAGGCTTTTTAAAAAGGAATTAAGTTTTGGGCCTCCCCTGGTGGCGCAACGGTTAAGCGCTGGGTTGCAAGGCTGCCTGCAGCCTCTGCAGAGCTGGTTCAATCCCTGGCCACTGGCGAGGGTCCCACCAAAAAAAAAAAAAAAATGAGTTTTACCTGTAAGATTCTAGAAGATCCACAATTTCAGTCTGCCCAAAGTGTTTAGCCCAATCTAATGCCATCCTGCCAAAATTCAAAGATATTAAGATAAAAAAAAGTTTACTATGCACTCAAAATTAGATATCAAAAAAAGATACACACAACTATACAAAGAAAAGATGCAATTTAACATTACCAGCCATTTGATGCTTTACTATGGACATTGGCTCCCATGCTAATTAATTGCTCTACTTGACTTGAAAAACCCCGTCCTGCAGCAACCATCAGAGCTGTGGCACTGGTTTCACTATGCCTATAATCAACTAAAAGAAGGAAAAGATAACAGACAAATTTGCAAAGTATTTAAAATCAGTTTATATGTTTAATTTAAAACAGAAGAATTCAACTTCAAGAGAATTACTACACAAAAGAACAAATTATTGGTTGTAACAAAAAATATAGAACATATACTTTGAATTTACTACATTTCTTCTATAAATAACTGTAAAGTAATTAAAAACTTAATTGTACTTACCACTAACATTTTCAGTTAAAATAAGATGAAAGACCTGAGCAAAGGCATCAACGTCTTTATGCAGCCATATGTCAGAAAGACAAGCATCCATTTCCTTTACTAACCATGGTTCAAGGCAATTCACATCTTTTTCTGTCTTTAACAACAAAAGAAGCAAATACTATAAATTACCTGAGAGCTTAACTTTCCCTTGCAAAGAACAAGTGTAATATAGCATGTAATATAGCAACTGTTTAGACATAAAGGTTTCTCATCTCATCATCAACACTATCACAATACTATCTGCATCTGTTGTTCTTGGATTTATCTTTTATTTAAAAATGAGTTTGTCTGAAAAAAACAAAAAATGATCCATTGTTCTTCTGATAGGAAGTTGCTAAAATGTACATGTGGCTTCTCTCCCAAGCACACATCAGATGGAGTATTACTTGGATCTTTTCAACAGTGATGCTGGGCCCCAGCCCAGAGCAAGTACTGTAGAAACTCCAGTGATAGAGGCGTGAATGCAGAGAACTTTAAAACAATTTTGTAGGTGAAAGTGCCTCCAGGCTTAAGTGCTAATAATTTACATGGTGAAATGCTCTTCATAGAACCATATGGGTGTTTCCCATGTTAATTAATAATTTTTAATGTTCATAAAAATATTTTTGAAAAGCACATGCCTTTTACTTGGAAGCATTAGAACTTTAAAAGCTAGTCATATTCTTGCATTACTAGAATAATGCAAGCATATGTACCTTGTCATGCTGAAAAAAATTAAATTCTTCTAAAAAATGCATACTCTTCACCATAACTTGCATCACAGTAATCACCAATGCATGTTTAATAATTTAAAACAGAAAGACAGTAAGAACCAGAAGACTAGAAAAGCAGGTACTTCCAGTTTTCAATGGAACTGAATAGAGCACAGGTATCACCTGGAGATGTGAGTTAAGGGGAAAAAAAAAAAGTGAATGATCAGCGGAATGGGTTTCTATGAAATATTTCATTTGTATAAGATTTTGCGACGTAACAGAACAAAAAGGAGAAGAGAAGAAATTCCTCAATAGTAGGTAATGATTTTAGAAAGTCACATAGCTAGCTGGTTGCGGAAACAACTAGTATTGTCTATTTGCTATAGGACAAGAGTCTTTTCCTTAACTTTCTCCTAACTCAGCTATCTTACATTGTTTAGTTGATAGGTTCTAAATTTTTGAAATGATAAAATATCAAGCATATGCATAATATCCATAACTATTTTCTTTAAAAAGTTTAGAAAAATATTGACTATAAACTGAATGAAACAATGTAAGATGTTGCATTATTTTCAAAAAGCATGTAAAACGTTGTGTGAAAAATGTACTCTAAAGAATTACACTTCAAAAATTATAATCTCATAAAATACCCTTTAAAAGAGACAATTTTCATTCAAATTACCAGTGTAAAATCAGGAATGTCTTACCAACTGACTGAAGACAGCATCACCACCGTCATCCAATAAATCATACTCTTCAGTCACATTCGGAACAGTTCTCTGCCTTTGGGATTCAGGCTTGAAAGCATTTTCTTGAGCTGTGTACCATTCAGTAAGTGTGCTCTGTTGTTTCTCTTCTAAATTATTACCGAAAAAAAGACTAGGTAGATAAAATTCTTTGCTTTTTGAAATATATCCCCTTGTTTAAAAAATTAAATGACTCTGAAAATACTTAAAGGTTGGCCTTACTTTGAAAGGTAAGCTACTTTTAAAATTAGGAACATTCAATAAAATGTAGTATGATGAACCATAAGTACCCACAAAACTGCTTTTAAAAATTCATCTCTTAGTCCTCCCCGGTGGCGCAGTGGTTGAGCGCTGGGTTGCGAAGCCGCCCGCAGCCTCTGTAGCGCCGGTACGATCCCCAGCTGCTCCCCGGCCACCGGAGGAGGGTCCCGCATGGCGCGCAGACCTCTCCTGCCGCCCGCTGCTCCCCTCAGCAGTGTACTTTGGTCCTTCTGCCTGCTCTGCTCCCCACTCTGGCTCTGGTGAATTCTCTCGCCCTCCCACGCTTCTGCCTGTGCCCAGTGCTTGTATAAATCAATCAATCAATCAATCAATCTTGCATAAATAAATAAATAATCTTAAAAAAATATTCATCTCCTAGTTTACCCCTTAGTAAGTCCATAATTTAAAAATTAGTACTTGAGCAATAAAATATTACTTAAATTAACAACTAATATTCATACAGTGCTTTGTAGAAAACCACTTATTAAATGCTATCACCGCACTAGTTGTTTCAAATAAAAATTATATACAAAAAGTTATAAACAACATTCATCTCCAAAACTTTTAGTTTTATAATTTACATAGCATGATTCAATGCTGCACTATGACAGATATGGCTAAATATTTTTTTCAAGGGGAGACTCCAAAGAATTAAAGTATTTATGTAAACAAAAAAATCAAGTTTGAAGCCAAATCTTTTGTCACAAATAATGCAGTTTTAGAAGCAAAAGGACTGTAGCCCTAATTCAAAAGCTGAGATAGTCATAAAAGATAATGCTAACTTCAAAATACAGATGCAATTTATAACAATGTTAATATTTGAAAATCTTGACCCTTGTATTAAAAGGAGTCTGCTATTACTCACGTGCTACTCTTCATTCCCTCTCATGCACTCTACTTCCACCCTGTAAAATATGCTGTGGGTAGAAAATAACCTACCCTCCTGTACCATCTTAAAACTGTGGCTGAATTTCTGAATATAGATACACTCTACCTTCTCAGTGGCCTCCACTTTCAATTCCTCTCTCTAGATAACAACTTTTGGACATAAACCAGGATGTAGAAGGTATACTGGGGACAGTATTCTAATACAGTATTACACAATTATACACAAAAGAAATGCATTCAAGTGTTTCTGGAACTGTCATAAAACCGGAATACTATAAAAAGTATCAATAGTAATTTTCTTGTATATGTTTGATAAAGAGATTACCTCGCTGTTTTTCCTTTTTGTATTTTAACATTTCTTTGTTTGTATATCCAGTAGTTCTTAAAATGTCTTCCAGAAACATTTCTTTCACTTCAAATGGTCTTCCCTGTACTAAAGAACACAATTTTATTATTAAATAGTAAATTTATATCTTAGTGGGGAAAGAGAAGAAATATAACCAATGCGAGTATCCAAAAATAAAGAAATGGAAAAATAAATAATGGTGCATTCATACTATGAAATATTAAAGCTGTTTCTTAAAGAATGATACCTAGAGCCACTGAAGTGGAGGACTATTCATTATGTACTAGCACATGAATAAAGCAAGTTAAAATATTACATATAAGACATTTGCTCATTTTTTTAAGCCCATTTCTACTGAACCCTACACACACACACACACACACACACACATACTTGCATAGGTGTGGGAAAGCAAGAACAAGATGAGAAAGGACATATATCAGATTTTAACATCCAGTAATCTCAGGAAAGTAAGACATGAAATTTAAGGAAAGAGGGCAACTGTGAACTTTTCTCCTATTTATGTAATATTTCATCAAGGTGAACAGATACAACTTTATCAAATTTTGATGAGGAATTCATCAATTTTTTAAAGATAGGTAACACAATCTATTTTGATTAAAGGAAATGGGCAAATGATTAGTGTCAGTACATTTAGAAGTAAATGGGCAGTTAACATGGGAGCAAAAGAACTACTCTTTCAAGGAATCTAGAAATAAAGGGGAAGCTACAGGACAAAATTTCGAAGGGAGTGCAGATTAAAATAAAACATTTTCTTTTAAGACTAGAGAACTGGTCTCATTACGTAATACCAAAGGAGGAGAAGGAAAGTACAAAAATATAGATACCTACACATACTTCAGAGGAAACAAAACGAAAGCCCTCTAGAATCTGCCCCAGTTGCTAGTATAGCAAATATAACCATGCCAAAAAAGTATGCTTTCATAAAAATCCTGGAAGACATTTGGTAATTTAACTTACTATATATCACTGGACAACTTCCAAAGTATCTTATAAAAAGATTTACATCCAAGGCAGCACTAGAAAGAATTAGTTTCAAAGTTGGGTGCTTCTGCAACAAGTCTCTTAACTTTGTAAGTAAAAAGTCACTGAATCGATCCCTTTCGTGTACCTCATCCTGCAGTAAACAAAAATAAAACCACAGAGTAATTAAAACATGACTAATTCTTCAAAACATGACCAATTCTTTAAAATTATGTGGCTGCTAGCTATTACACTAACTTAAACAGTGGACAAAGCCAATCAGTATTTATAGAAATTTTAAATTATGAGCAATTCAGAAATAATAAGACATTAAGAACTGCAACAAGCAACAAAGCAATGTCTCCTCCACCCTTTCTCCTGCAAGATCAGAAATCCACAAACTATAACAAAGTTCTGAATAATAAAGTCAAGTTTAACACATTTCTAACAGATACAAAATCAATATAAATATGCTTCTGTTAGTATCAGGACTCAGGTATAACTTTGACTTGAATTCACAAGCTATATTTCCCAAAGCTGCTTACACCAAACATAAAAACTTTAATATTTTCTGAAACAGACTGGATAAGGGCTTAAAATTCTTTAATGAGGCAGTCATTCATCTACTCATTTCGTTAGCAACCAGGTTATTTAGCAGCGTAACTATGAAGTTAAACGACTATAAAATGGAAAATAAATATTAGTTAAAAGAGCTAACAGATGACTAAGTGAAGAAGAAAAAAAAAACTTTTATCATTTTCATCAAATATCAAAACCACTTTTCTTTTTAGTCAGAGCAACTTTATTTTTACCTTTGATCTTAGATTAACATGAACTATGTTAGAGAAGCTCTTTATAAACTTCAACAAAACTCCCTATTTATTAACACCGAAGTTTTCATAGCATGCACATTCAGATTTGTGCATATAATAGTCACAAAGGTCCACTGCCTATAAAACCATGCTAGTACTAGCTAGATACATTAGCAAAAAGATAAAGAAAAATTTCAGTAGAAGGTTTTCTCTAAATTCAGGTGAGAATTAAGATAGTAGAAATTATAAAGACATTTTTCTTGAGAATGTTATAACCACAAATAAAAGGCACTTTTTGAAAAATTACTTTGTTTTTTCTCATTCTGATAAGAATACCTTTATTTAATACAAAACATTTATTTCCAATAATTGCAGACAATGAAAAATAATTTATTATAGCTTGTTTAAAAAAACTGCTTCTTACACCCTATTCTAAAAACGTATTTACATATTTCAATTTTAAGCAATCCTGAGTTATGGTGAATTTAGCAAAATTCTTACCACAATAACATGTGTCACAGTTGACAATGTACTATCTCCTGCCATCAATGTACGAAGCAATACCCCATTAGTACAAAATGTCAGAAGTGTCTTTGGAGAAACCCTTTGTAAAAAATATAAAAATAAAAGGTTCCCAATTACAAATCTTTATGTAATTGAAATAAAATCACATTAAACACTAGTCTCAGAAGTACTTTATTAAATGTTACTAAAATAATAATCTACTGGTATGTATGCTTTATAAAGTTATATGAAATAAAACCTTAAACACTGTTTGTTTGATAAAAAACATATCATAAACGAGAGTTTAACACTACATTCAAAATCCTGAAAGCAAAGAAATAACACTAGAAGTACTACCAGTACTACCAATAATAAATTTATTCACTAACATTTATCAAGTACTTACTATAAATTTCATCATCAAACTTGTGCTCTAGATGTTTTTATTAGTCCCATTTTACAGAGGAGGAAAATGAGGCTCAATGAGGTAAAATAACTGCACTTAATCATGAAACTATGAAATGAGATTTGTTATTTATGGCTAGAACTCCTTTTTTTTCTTTTTTGTTAATTTATACAATAGCTGGGGTACAGGACAGAGGCGCGGTAGGGTGAGAGGATTCACCAGAGACAGAGCGGGGAGGAGAACAGACAGAAAGATCAAAAGCTCTGCTGAGGGGAGCAGCGGGCTCGACAGGAGAGTTCTGCTGTGCCATGTGGGAATCTCCCTGGCTGGCCGGGAATCAAACCCGTGCTGCAGAGGCTGTGGACAGCTTCACAGTGCTGCAATCAACCTGTTGTGCCACCGGGGAGGCCCTGGAACTCCTATTTACTCAAAATCTCAGTAACTTCATAATGATCTCAATTTCCTACCATAAACTTACTTGAAACAAAATGGTCATCTAACTTTTTAATTAATACATTCTCTATATTTAGTAGAATATAAATATTTAGTTTGTTCTAAGAATGACAGAAGATCAGCTATAGAAGAAATATCTTTACCTGCTTTCTAAACGGATCTGATATCCAATGGTTTGACCAATTCTTTCTCTTCTTTCCGCAGCAACTCTTTCAGCCACAGCAATAGCTGCTAATCGTCTTGGTTGAGTACAAAATATACGGCAAGGAATACCATTCTTAAAACAATCATCTAAAAGGAACTGAGGAATCTGAAGGGAAAATTTTAAAATATTATAAAATGACATGACCGCATAACCAAAAAATATAAACAAAGCAAATGAAAAACCATTAGAACTAAAGAAGTTCTGTAACATGTCTAGGAAGAATCATAAAATCAACAAACTTCACCTAACTGCTAATAGTCAGCTACAAAACATAATTTTGAACAGTCTTCATGACAAAAACTAAAACTAAAATATCAAAAAATATAAAGAAATAGCTGAGGCTTACATTAAAAAATTTAAAATGCTACAAAAAAAAACTATGAATACATAAAAATGATATTTTTAGATGAGAATAATCAATACTGTGAAAATTTTAATTCTCCCCAAATCATTCTATAAAGTTAATGAAACAACAATCAAAATTCCATTGAGACTTTTTACATAGTGAATAAAGAAAACAACAAAAAAAATTAATACCAGGATCACAGACACTTTTTTATAATTAAACCTGTCATTAAGATCTAAAATAAAAAGTAAACATGTTTCCCATCCCTATCAATAGTCCTCTTCAAAAAAGTAACTATTGTTAAGTTTCTTATGAACTTTTTCAGGGAAAAAAAATGTTTACGCAATTCAGAATATTTCTGCATAGAAAGAGGTTTTTAATTCAGACAAAAGGATTACTATTCTTAATGCTCATAATGTGCAGATTTCACTTAAAAAGTATCCCATCTACAGTAAATAACCCATTTCAATAGCTGCATATCCCATCTTTTGAACGTGCTGTGATTTAACAAAGATGATGAAGCATTAGAAAATTTCCAGTTTTATAGGTTTGGTATTGATGTTCTTATGAACACTGCTATAGTGACTACCTTCACCTACTTTTACAAAGATAAATAAGGGTCAAAGTCAATACAAATTTAATTTGGATAGAAAACTTATCAAATTACCCTCAAAAACAACCTATACACCTATCAACAGAAGATGTTGTTTTCCCCCATAAGTACCACCATAAATTTTTAATTCATAGTCAAAAATGTAATAGTTGAAAACATAACTTATTTAACTATGAGCTAGAGGATCTTTTCATGCATATCTTAGCCTCTGATTTTTTTTCTTACTTGACTACTGACAGTAGCACAAATGCACATAAACTGCTAAGAAATACGGAAAAAGAGAAGACAACGAGAAGAACTATTGTACTACATATTATAAAATTACAAAAACAGGATCCTGGTGGAGGAACAGATCATTAAAGATACAGAGCAAAAACTTCATAAACAGACCTCGATACTACTCAGTGCTATAGAAACTTAGTATTTGATTAAAAGTGGTACCTTTTATAGGGGGGAAAGATAATTAAAGTTACATTGGGACTATATATTATAAAGAAGAATAAAGATTTCTGGGCCTCCCCAGTGGCACAGAGGGTTGAGTGCAGCGCTGTGGCTGTGAAGCTGTGTGCACCCTCTGCAGCGCAGGTTCGATTCCTAGTCGGCCAGGGAGATTCCCACATGGTGCAGCAGACCTCTCCTGTCTCACCCACTGCTCCCCTCAGCAGCGTATTTCGGTCATCTGCCTGTTCTGCTCTCCACTCTGTCTCTGGTGAATCCTCTTACCTTCCCGCGCCTCTGGCCTGTATCCCAGCTCTTGTATAAAAATAAATAAATCTTAAAAAAAAAAAAAAAGAATAAAGACTTCTACCTGATATAACAATAAAATGAATTCCAGATGAATTTTTCAAACTATAAATATAATAGTATTAGAATACAGAATTTACTGGAAAACATTTTTTTAATCTTGGGGCAGGAATTGACTTTTTTGCATATCTCAAAATCTTAGATTTGATTAAATAAAATGTAAAAACTACTAAGCAAGATCCCATAAGCAAAATTAAAAAGCAAACAAAGAATGGGATAGATTACTTTTAAGATTATCTAGCAAGAGGCAAGTATTATTCATAATAAATAAAAAACTATTAAATTTAAATCTAAGATGATTATGAGAAAAGAAAAGTCAGAGAGGCCGCCTTGATAGTGCAAAGGGTTAAGTCTCAGCACTATCAAGTTATTGGCAGCCACTGCAGCAGGAGTTTGATCCCTGGCCAGGGAGCTGACCAACATGGCACAACAGACCTCTCCTGTCTAGTCTGCTGCTCCCCGCAGCACTGTATTTCAGTAAATTTGCCTGTTCTGCTCCCCAGTCTGTCTCTGGTGTATCCTCTCAGCGCCCCACTCCCTGGCTCTGGCCTACACCCCAGTTCTTGTATGCATAAATCAATCTTAAAAAAAGGTCAGATATAAATAAGAAATTTATAAAACATAATAGGTAATAAGCAAAAGAACAGATAAGTCACTCTTTTAGGACTCAAGGAAATGCAAAAGATAGTTATGCTTATCAGACTGATAAAGGTGGAAATAAATATATATTTTCCTTGTTGCCCATAGAAACTTTCAAAACTATTTATATACAGTTACTCTTTTTTTCAGTTAATAGACAATAACTAGTTAACCCAGCCACTAAAATTCTAACTGCCACAGTCTTGATCCAGCAATTCCACAAATTATCAAAGAAATACTAGCATATAATATGAAAAATTAAGTACAATACAAGAACAAGTTTCCCGTTCTGGCCACTTCCTCACTGTAAACATGAGGAGATGAAGGTTTAAGTTTCAGTTTTTATTCTTCATCTGTAAAAAGAGATAATAAAAAATCTGTGTTTCTTGGGGTTATTGAGAGGTTTAAATAGCCCAATACACAGTAAATTGTTATTTTTAAAAACTATTTCTAGGGCCTCCCTGGTGGCGCAGGCGGTTGAGTGCCTCACTGTGAAGCTGTCCACAGCCCCCACAGCGCAGGTTCGATCCCGGCCGGCCAGGAAGAATCCCACATGCAAAGCAGACTTCTGTCTCGCCCGCTGCTCCCCTCAGCAGTGTTTTTCGGTCATCTGCCTGTTCTGCTCCCCGCTCTGTCTCTGGTGAACCCTCTCACCCTCCTGCGCCTCTAACCTGTACCCCAGTTCTTGTATAAATAAAACAAAATCTTAACCCCCCCCCCCAAAAAAAAACAAAACTATTTCGGTCCTCCCCGGTGGCACAGCGGTTGAGTGTTGGATTGCGAAGCTGCCCACAGCCTCTGCAGCGCCAGTTCGATCCCCGGCTACTCCCCGGCCACCGGAGAAGAGTCCCACATGGTGAGCAGACCTCTCCCGCCACCTGCTGCTCCCCTCAGCAGTGTACTTCGGTCCTTCTGCCTGCTCTGCTCCCTGCTCTGGCTCTGGTGAATTCTCTCACCCTCCCGCGCTTCTGACTGTACCCAGTGCTTGTATAAATACATAAATAAATCTTTAAAAAAATAAAATAAAATAAAACCTTCTATTAAACATAAGTTATATCTTTAGGTACTGACATGGAAAATATATTTAGTTAAGTAAAATATATTCAGATAAAGATTTACACTTCTGTGACAATGGTTAAGTCCTACAAGCATATAATTGGTGAATGTTACACCATTCTCTACTACCTTGCATTAACTAGTGACCAAGTTTAAACCAATAAATCTAACCACAGGAAGCTGTAAGTACAAGTCCAAAGTATATTTATATGTTCAAAAAAGAACAAAATGTAAAATTACACTATTATATATGATCCACTATCAAAAGCAAATAATGCTACCATTTTAACATACTAATATGTTAAACATAAAGAAAAGCTCATATCATCATGCTATCTTTATTTCTAACCTGTCACCCTCTGAGTAAAATTTCATAATAATGAAGTAATTTGATTCTAAACATCCAAATCAAGCCTGTCATATTAATTCCACCTACTAGTCAACTTTCTATCACCATTGTTAGTTACTAATACTGCTTTTAATTCAGTTGCTATGTATGAAACTCTATGCTAGGCACTTTACAGATATTATCTCTAAACTTCAACAGCTGCACAATTATTCTACTTTATAAATGAACACGAGCTCAGAGAGATTGTAAAACTAAACTAAACTAAAAATTCCTATCAAATAAATGAGCAAAGCAGAATCTGAAACAAAGGTCAAAGTCCATATTCCAAGACGTAAATTACCCAAAACTCTCACTCAAAGCAAGCTCAATGTACTAGTTTAAAAGTAAGTATGTTAAAACACTGCGGGTCTATATATTTTCAAAACTAATTCCCACTAATAATATTTTCTGAAGTAGTCATTAATAATTAATCAATAATCATTAATAACCAATAATCATTTTTTTGTTTTTTGTTAAAATACATGCAGTGTTAATTTAATAAAAAACAACTATTTCATGGGACAAAATATTCTTTTCTTCTATAAACAAAAAGATGAAACATACCTGTGTAGTCTTCCCAGACCCAGTTTCTCCTACAATCAGAACTACTTTATTTTCCTTAATTATTTTAACAATTTCTTCTTGTTTCTCATACACTGGCAGAGACTGCCTGAAAGAATCAAATTCGGATTCTCCTCTTTTCACTGGAATCTGAGGTATGCCATTGTTGAGTCGTCCACTTGTCTTGCTCATTTCCCGGTTTTCTTGGAAAATGAACAAAAGAAAAAAAGAATTTATAGTCAATGTTTTTTAAAAAGTTTTGAAAGATGAGTAATTTCTAATGAAATTCCTTTCAAGTGTTTCTTTTGTACTCAGTCTACATGAAGTGAGCAATGTCTCAACCTTTGTATTTCTATATACTTAAAAGTCTTCCAGCATGTTATGAATTTCACTATCAATTAGAAATCAAATTTCTATCACTTCTTGGCCTTTTGGCTAAGATCAAGTGTAGAAATCAAATTTCTCAAAAGTACTTCTGGTGCATAATGTTTAAAAATGAACATATATCAATCATTTAATAACTACTAAAAGCAAAACACAATTCTGTTATCGCAAAATAATATTCAGACACAAAAATCAAGATTTTATAGTAGGGAACAGTGTGCCTTATATATAACTACATGTAAGATTATATAAACACACAGAATAATTGTAAATATAATGTCCTAAATGCTCAACAAATTTTTGAATTGAACTTTTTAGTCAACATCTGCATTTAGTTAAGCAGACAGGAATAAAGAAAAGATATGATATAGTTTATATTCTTCATAAAAATATTCTGTGCGTGTATTTAAAACTTAAATTCCTTGGCATGTAAACCAAGTGTTTTCTACATTCTGCAAACCTACTCCAGCAGAAAATGGAAAATATATACAAACTCTGTCACTATAATTAACAAAATAATGTTTTCCCTAGAGTAGTCACTTCTCCAAAATAAAACAACTTCATTTTAAAACCTTAACATTTTATTTATCTACCTTTGAACAAGTTAATGTATGAAGACTGTGTCTTGTTTTTACTAGAAGCTAAGCACCAGCTCTAAATCTCACTAATATGTCTTGGCAAAGTAACACATTAGATGTGAAGTACAGATCCTGGAGTCAAATCCCAGCCCTGCAGTTTAATGGCTGGATGAGTGGTCTTGAACAAATAGTTTATCTTCTCTTAGCCCCAGTTTCTTTACCTGTGAAATAGGTAAATTCTTACCTTGCATAGATGGCTATATGGCTCTATACAGAGAGGGCAACACACTGTCTAGTATATTGTAAGTGTTCAACATGATAGTTATTACTATAACCCTTAAAAAAACTTGTCTAACTTCACAAAATGTCTTACTACTGCATTTCATTCCAAACTTCTCACAACTCTTAATCATTTCTAACACACTATTCATACTGAGCAATTGTATTTCATCTTAGCTTTTAAAAAGAAATTTCAAATGGAATAAAATAAATTTAAAATGGTAAATAGGGTAAACAAGGAAGCACCCCAGAAAATACATACCAGCTTCAACTGCAAACACATTTCCTCTTTCTGTTTTAGGCAGAAGTTCAGTACGCTCTTTATTGGTGACAGGAAATCTTTGAATTAGGCTCCTAACAGCATGTTTTGTATTATGAGTCAAATTACAGGTCATCATTGCATGAGCTGTTTCTGATCCATCTTTCTTCTTCACAGTTAGGTATCTATTTGCTCCCTTTCTGAATATTAATAAAAATCATTTATTTACTATATATAGTCATTTTTTTTCCACATATGATGTATGCCTACTTAGAAAACAGGTCTCAAGCAAAACATCGAAAAAAATCAAAGTATTTTGGGATAAGATGCTGAGAAATCCCAAAAAATTCAGAGAAGAGGTCTGTTTGGTGCTAGGTGGCCACAAGCCCCTTTTCAATTAAAATTCTAAAATGCTGCAAATCCATTTCAAAAACAGCAAAAAAGGCTTACTTACCATTAGTGTTAGTTTCTCTTAGCATACTTCATGGTGGATGAAACATCACCAGTTAATACACGCTGGGAAGCAAATAGGGGGAGAAAAGCAATCTGAACAGAATCTAAAATTAATAGTGGAAAAATAATGGCTCACTGTTCAGAATAATACATCCCACTAAATGTTTCCACAGTATGCTGGTAATATTACACTCCCATGAAAACCTGTTTAAGAGAGTCAAGTATAGTGGTTGGACCAGAAAAGCATAAATTGGCATTATTAGTATTTCAGTTACATATTCAGGGAGGAAAAAAGAAAGTTTTCAAAGTTTCTTGTTCTTGCTTTCAATTTTACAGTGATGAGTTATAACAGCTCTGATGTTAACTGATACAGGTTTGTATCTTTCACTGGTCTAGGACTTACTATGTCTTTTATGGCTCCAAAAGTATGAAATAAAATGTAATATACATAGGAAGACCTCAAATATGTTTTGAATGATTTAATGACATATGTCTATAATCTAGTACAATGTTAACCTGTGAAGAGTCAGGCTCTGAAAGTTTACTAACCTGGATTTGGATCCCTGCTCTAACACTGACTAGCAATGGGACCATAAGTGAATCATTTAATAGTTCTGAGCCTACAATAATGTAATGCCTGTCTTATAGAACTTTATATGATTAAATAAGATAATACATATTAAAAAACATTATCAGAGAAAACACTAAAAAAAATGAACGTTATGATTGTAATTATAGTCAGGAACAAATGCCACGTGTTTTTTTTTAATTACCCAAATATTTCATAAAATGTTTTACCATTTGTTAATGTCACTATCATAAAAATGAGCAACAAAGCCACAAATACAATGAAAATTATTGTAAATTTCCTAAGATTTGAATTTTTCAAATTTCAAATGCAATTTTCCTAAGACTTGAATTTTTCAAGTCTCTTCACTGTATGAATGACATAAAACTGGGGATTAACTTATATAGTCTTAGTTATCTAAGTCTTCTAAGTGAGGCTTTCAATTTACCAAGATTTTTCCTTTCTGGAAACTCCAGATTGAATGAATGCTTTAATTAACCATAAGCTCAAAATTGTCACCTCCACTTAACAAGTACTTAGTGATGAAATAATGAAAATTCAACCTGACTGAATTTTAGTTTTTCCCCTGGTAAATCAGAATTATTGGATAGGGATGATCTCTATACCAGGTTCCTTTCCTATGAACCTTCCTGAAGCTTCAGTACATTTTAGCCCCAATCATTTTTCCCTCCTCCAACACCAGAAAGCAGGAAAATAGGCTGAAATGAGCCCCAAAGGGAGAGTCAAGAGACTTATGTTCAGCTGGCATTAATCTTTCAATCAACTAGCTACATGACCAAAAATAAATCATGTTAATTCTATGATATTTATTAGTTACTTTAAAGCTCTCTAATATTTCTACCAGCTCCAAGATTTGATTTCTTTAAAATCATCTCAGTCAAGATTTGCTTTATTTCACCCACAACTAATTTTCTTCATTCATTCCTTTATTACTTATTTACATTCATTCACATATTCATTGAGCACCTAGTATATGCCAGATGCTATGCTAAGAAGCAGGGTTTACAACTTGAAGAAAAATATACTCCCAAATGAATAAGCCCACAACTCAAATAGTGGGTCAGACTGCAACCTTCCTAACATTTCAAATCCTAATAATAATGTAGCATTTATGAATAAAGTAACTCACAGAAAGTAGAAGTGAGTACTTAACTTAGCCATTGCTATTTATAACAGTGAATTTAGTTCGAACACAAATGTTGGAGCAGAAAGGTAACATCGACCTGATGTTACACAGCCTGCTACTGAACTATTTAATGCAAATACACAACCATGTGTCACTGTTCCCTACTTTCCAAACAGAACGGTTTAAAATTTCACCTCAAGAGCCCAAATTCAAAATGACTACTTAAAAAGATCACAACCACCAAGGAGCAAATGTCTCTAGAAAAAATAACATATTCATTTGATGCCTGGTAAACAGTTAATTTCCTATCACCCTAATTTATATTTCTGTTAAGCAGATATGCAAAAACCTAACTCCAAATCATCTTCTCCGTGAAACTGTAACACAGAATTACAAATGTATTACTTTGCATGATACTAATTTATACTTTCAAAAATGATTATCTAGAAATTAGTAAACCAACTAGTTAACTTTGTAACTCAACAGTCACTATCTTGTCAAGGTTACAATGTTTATGGTAATTTAAACTTTTTGTGACTTAATGAACTAAAAGCAAGTCAGAAATGACACCTATCTCAAATTTCTGTTTTTTCTCAAGCCCCCAGGCATTGTTATGAACTCACTGTGAACATCAAAAATCATCAGCTAAACACTATTTTCAAATCTGGCTCTCCCACCAGCTACCTGTACCTTGGAAAAATTATTTAACCTCTTTAAGCTTGAGTTACCTTATTTGTTTTATAGAAAGCAAATGTTAATAAGAAGATACATCATATAAGACTACTAGGAAGATTAAATGATAATCTAATTAAAGCACCTATACAATGTCTGTCACACAAGAGCATTTAACAAATGTTAGCTGCTGTTATTATTACTATTGGGTACCATAGGGTGTTTATTTTCAAAGACTATCTAAAAACTCACTAAGAGTTTATAATTTTTTATTCACTTTTCCAATTTTAGCTAGGAGAAGAGAAGAGGACTACAGTATGCAGCCTTCTAGGGAAGAAGTTAGGGTGGCAGTAACCCAAATCTGAAAATGGGGGCTTTCTTAAAAGAGTAGAGCCCCCTGGGTAGGGTAAGTGGAGTTCTCGGAGCCCTATTAAGCAGTGACATCAGCAATCACAGGAGAAGAGACCTGTACCAGAAAACCTTCTTTTAGATATTTTATACTTTCTCACAACTTTTAAACAAACTTTATTTTGTACATTTATTCTGACTGATGTAGAAAAAGGATAGGAAAGTGGCCTTGTTCTGTTCATGGATAAGTCAAGGACTTAGAAAAGTACACTCTTAGGACTCAAAATGCACTCAGTTGAGGAGAAAAGGAAACACATTATAAGAAGGTGAAATTTCTGTATGGGAAAATGGCTATAATTTGAAAGAAAACTTTCGGTTATACTGAAGAACACAAAATGGGCGCTTTACGCCGACATGAGTATTTTCACCAAAAGATAAGCAATGATAATAAATAATTGCAAAGTAAATTCAAATCCCTGAGAGGAGTTGAAATATCAAATCCAACACACATGGCTTCATTTTGAAAGAAAGAAATGGAGAAAGTCATCAGCAAAAAACTTCATCATACAGTAAGCCTGGAATCTCATTCTTAAAAACCTTGTACAAAGCTCAAAATAAAATTCCAGAATCACCGAGTCTTAAGTAAAACAACCAGATCACATTTTACATTTAAGAAATTAGGCCTTTAAAATTAATGGAAATGATTAAAGCTAGAGAATAAGGCTATAAGATACCTGGAATTGAATCTAGGTTTCCTCTCAACCATGTATTAAAGAACCATAATGAAAAAAAGAAAAAAGAAAGAAATGCAGAAAAATTAACTTGTTAAGCTAATGAAGTTAATGCTAGGTGGTAAAAAAAAAATCTTCACTCAAGGATAAATAGGGGAAAAAAAAACATGAAATATAAATCAGGTATGAAGTCTCATATAAAGGAAAAGAACGAACTTGAGAAGCATATTCAAAGTGACTTAGTTCTTTATCTATGTGCAAACAAGGAAAGGCATTTGAAAATGACAAGTACCAGTAGATAAACATTGTAGTAAGTCTGTTCGAAGATAAAAAGGGGGAGGGAAAGAACTAGCATGTTTCATAAGCAGAGGGTTTATGGATGATTAGAGGTCTTAGAAACTGGAGTAGAAGGCAGATTACCTTGCATTTCTTTCCTTTTTCCTTTCTCTGTCTCCTCAATGTTTCTCCATTGAGAAACATTTTCCTTATTAGCTTTTTTTTTTTTCCTTCTTATTAGCCTTTTTCTTCCTAATTAGCCTTTTTCCTTCTTATTAGCTCTGCACTTCCACGGATGTTTCTCCATTCTGAACCATCCCCTAAGTGATCATGCTACTGAACTGAAGAGCATAGGGGTACTCTATTCTAGTTGACTGCTTGGCTTAAGAGTAATTTACAATGGTCACTTCTAAAGTCGCTGTTAGGGTTCAAAATCCATTCAAGCATAGAAATGATGTAAGTACAGAATTGTACATTCCTAACACCTTTTCAGTGGAGGTCCTGCAACTCTAAAACTCAAACAGTTCTGAAAATTGGACGATTCTATAACTTTGCAGTAAGTTTCTTTGGCAGCAAAGTCTGATTAAACTGATATGAGGCTATCTGCTGTCTGCATTTATTTGAATGTGAATATTCAGACATTTTCCAGCAGAAATATTAATGCAATCAAGGGTGATAACTATACCATATTAGGGATATTATACAATCTATAGCAAATATAACCTTTCTAAAATACGGAAATTCTGAATCTCAAAAATAGCTACCCCAGCTGTTTTTAGATAAAGGATTGTGACCCTGTACACCACTTTTATTTTCAAGTGCAATATTCTATTTTTCCAGTGGACTCCAATAGCATGCATGCCCAGAAATTTACTGTTTAAAATGCACATTCACCTAGGCCAAATCCCCTGTCCCAATAAGCAATGGAATCACTGTGGTGGGCATTTTGATGTAAGAGATTTCTCTAGTAACCACTTTCGTCTCAGGACTTTAATACTATTTATTCATTAATATTTTTACTTACTAAAATTTTGTTTTCCCTCTTAACCTAAAAACTGGTAAGCATAAATGATGATTTCCCCACCTTCTGTGGTTCTCACCAAGGACAATTTTGCTTCCCTGGAACATTTTGGCAATGTCTAGAGTGATTTTTGACTATTATAACTGGAGGTACAAGTGTCACCGGCATCCAGTGGGGGGAGAAGCTAGTTACACTGCTAAACATCCTATAATGCACACAACCAGCCCAAAATGTCAGCAGCACCAATACTGAAAAACATTGCATCAATTCCACCATCCTTACGTGCCAAATGAAATAGCCCTACTTTTAACAATTCAACATGGAAGTCTCAAGTGACCTTTTCCCCCAATTGGATCCGTGACCCTCAAATAGATCTACTATTTTCTCCTTTTTGTTTTATTGAATCATTTCTACTGATCAGATTTTGACTTGGTAGAACAGAAAACAATTAATAGGTTACAGTACAATAACATAAAGGAGGTAAGTTGTATAAATAATTGTAGCTAATTGATCCTAAAAAATATTCACCATCTGAAAATACAGTTTTCTAAAGCAATCAATTTCAATTTTAAACTATTTTTTTTCACATCTTAAAAATTACTGTCTTTTCTTTTTGCTCCTAGAGAACACAATAAAAGGGAGCTGGGGGCAGTAAACAGCTGAGTTTAGTAATGACTTATAGTGTGTACATAAACTATAATATGCATGTCAACCTAAAACAATAACAACTATCTAAATGTAGTCAGAAACATTTCTCCTTTTTTTGGTAAATGCATTTTTTTTTTTTAAAAAATAAGAAAAGCTATGGGCCTCCCCGGTGGCGCAGCGGTTGAGCGCTGGGTTGCGAAGCTGCCCGCGGCCTCTGCAGCGCTGGTTCGATCCCCGGCTGCTCCCCGGCCACCGGAGGAGGGTCCCACATGGCGCGCAGACCTCTCCTGCCGCCCGCTGCTCCCCTCAGCAGTGTACTTCGGTCCTTCTGCCTGCTCTGCTCCCCGCTCTGGCTCTGGTGAATTCTACCACCCTCCCGTGCTTCTGACTGTACCCAGTGCATGTATAAACAAAACAAACAAACAAATAAATAAATAAAAGCATGCCTCTATTAAAAAAAAAAAAAAAAATTAAAAAAAATTAAAAAGCTATGAGCTTACCCTTTACTTTTAGAGACCAAACCAAGAGATTGACTCAATCGATGAATAAAGGCTCTTTCAGTACTGGTCAAAGAAGAAGGAAATTCCATTTCTACATGGGAAAAAACACACAAAGTTTTTTGGGAATAGGCGATTTTCTTTCAAGATACTTCAGTATACATACAAAGATGTAAAATACTAAAAAAATCAGATGCATATAATCAAATTTATTATTGTATTTTGTGAAAAAGAGATATTAACTACTGAAAGTCTACTAAAGGACACTGATAAAACTAAACGAAAATGTGATAAAGACTTTAATGTTCACCAAAGATTACTGCACTTATCTGTGCTGGAATCTTGAGTTGGTTGCAGACTGAGGAACACATTTTACTGTCTGAAACAGAGCTTGCTTACTTGCTGAAAACAATTTTTTCTTCCAATGATAAGAAATGCACAAGCATTAGGAATGAGCAACATGAAACACCCTAGTCTTTGCCGTCAAAGCTGCATCTAATTCTTATTTCACTGTCTGGGACTAGATGTGCTAGTGCATGTTGCTCAAATTTTGCCTTTAACGTAAGTTCAGAGTCCCTGGGACCAGGTCACTCCGTTAGAGCCTGTGAGCTGCTGCAGCGAGGGCGCCTCTATTCAACAGGGCCAGCGAGTCAGAAGGCGCCCTGAACACACTCTCCAGGCGGATCCCCACCTGGGGCGGCTGCTGGTTCTGCATTTTTAAATTTTTTTTTAAATTTTTATATTCCCCATACAATTGCACCCCCTTATTTTGACCCCATCCCTCCTTTCCCCGCCCCGCCTCCCCATAGTGTGTCTCTGGTTCATAGCTGTTTGCTGATTGTGATTTTTTTTGGGTTCTGCACTATTATCCTGGAGAAGTTTTCTAATGGCAAGCGTCATGGAAAACGTTTCAAACACTTCACGAGGTTTCATGTTTTTTAATGATTTCTTGTTTCAAGCGGGAGGCTACCAAGCATCAAAGCACGACGTGTTGCCAGGGCCACTTACCACATTCCCTTCTACTTCTGCAGCTTAAACATGACTAGGTCGAGGCCATCACAACCCCTTCCAAAAAAAAAAAAAAAAACCAAAAAACCGAGGCTCACCAATACCTGAAAGCTGCGGCTTTGCCGCCCAAAGGAAGGCGACCGGCCCCCTGCGCGGGAGCAACCCAACTCTCTCACCTGTGCCGCCCGCCAGGTGTGCTGCACCTGCCGACCCGCGGCGTGCCCGGCGCTCCTCCACAGCCCAGGTTGGCCAGAGAAGCCGGCGCGAGCGGACCCCGGGGGGCCGCCCAGCCCGCGCCCCCCTTCTCTGAGGCAGCCCCTCCCTCGGCGGGCGCGGGTCTGAGGGGAGCCGGGGCGCCGGCGGGCACCTCACCTCGCTGGTCCCCGTAGCGGAAGCGCTCCAGGGCGATGTTGACGGCGATCTTCACCTCCTCGTCGATGCGGATGTCCTTCAGCCCCTTGGCCCGGCCGCCGCCCCCGCGGACACTCGCCGCGCCCCCGCCCCCGGCCCCGGCCCCGGGCGCCGGCGGCCGCGGGGAGACGCTGCTCGGCCGCGACATAGCCCTGAGGAGAAGCTCGCCCCGCGGCGGGGCGGCCAGGCCTGCGGCTGGCGGCCTCGGACCGGGCAGAGGACCTCGGGGCGCTGGCGGGACCCCGCGCGCTCCGCAGGCGGCCTGCGCCGGGCCGCGCCGACCAGAAGCCGCCCGTCCCCTCAACAGCGAACGCGAGCCGGCCGCCCCGAAGCCCCGCGACGCCGCCGGCGCGGCGTGATGACGTCGCGAGGCGCCGCCCGTGACCTCACGCGGCGCCGCCCCTGGCCTCGCGCCTCGGCGCGCCCCTGTGTAGTCCCCGCGAAGCTAAGGCGCCCACGTGCTGGGGCGCCCCACTGGGGGATGCGCCCCGCCTGGCCCAGTCTTCTTCCGGCCCCGCACCGGGGTTCGCCCCCGTGCTAGTCTAAGGCTCATTGTTTTCTTTAATCTTTCCTTCTTTCCTTCTTTTTGTTTTTATTATTTTTTTAATTTTTTACGTCATTGTTCATTTTTATTTTTTTAATTTTATTACTTTTTTTCTTTTTTTAAGGATTTATTTATTTATTTATACAAGCACTGGGTACAGTCAGAAGCGTTGGGGGGAGGGTGAGAGAATTCACCAGAGCCAGAGCGGGGAGCAGAGCAGGCAGAAGGACCGAAGTACACTGCTGAGGGGAGCAGCGGGCGGCAGGAGAGGTCAGCGCCCCATGTGGGACCCTCGCCGGGGGATCGAACTGGCGCTGTAGAGGCTGCAGGCAGCTTTGCAGGCCAGCGCTCAACTGCTATGCCACCAGGGGAGGCCCCATTGTTCATTTTTAAACAAGGTGGGGAGGGTGGTGCACAGGGGACTGAGGTGATGGTGCACGGGTGCTTGCGTGAAGGGAACTCTGTGGGGACTACACCTGAGGGGCTGGGGGAAGGATATATTGTTTCCTTCTTTCATTCGTAAGCTTTTGTGAGCTCCCCTCGGGTACTGGCACTGTGCTGTTACACCTCAGCACAGCTATCATTAGGCGTACCAGACAGACTGCCCACCTGGAGTTTGCAAATAATCGATAAAAGCTAGCACATAAAAACTGAGGGTGGGATACCAGGTTGGTTTTCAATGTTCAAGGAATTTTTTTTAAGTGTATGTGCTTCCCATGCAATATTTGGAAACATACCGAGTAATAAGTTGCTATCCGAATGTAACTCATGGGCCTGTTGTCACTGGGAGCGAGTCCAGGGCCCCTCAGACTGATCCCACCCATGGACAACCCAGGCTGGGAGCCAACCAGGTGCTGGGCAGTGCTCCCCCAGCTGGAAAGCTGAGGGGTGGACTGAGAGGCCCTGCTCCCAGACCCCAGAAAGAAGTCTTGAGACAGCCCCCAGCACACACCTCCACCCCCTGCAAGATTGAAAAGAGGCCTCCAGAATGGGGCAGGCAAGGAGTGACTGGAGTTTAAGAATAAAAGAACAAAGAAATTGAACTTTAGAGAAAGTAGAGATGCATTTGTTGGGGAATAGCAAAGAAATGTAATGAAGGCTACCAGTGTCATGGATATAGGGATTGTTGTGAGACATGGAGGAGGAAAATCAAAAGGACTGAAAGAAATATTCTGTTGGTGCTGACAAGCTTAGGTAACTCTTGGCTATACATACATAATTGGCTATACTGATTCTTTCTTTAAAGAAAAGTTCATAATCATTAAACCTTGTGATCAGGATATCTGTTCTGCTGATTTCTCAAACAATTGTCAAATAACTGCTATTTGTCCCAGTCAGAGGAGGAATTTTGGCCCAGCTTTAGGGTTCAAAATGAACAAGCAATACCTCTGAGGGGGCTACTCTAGCTCCTATTTTAAAACAGCTTCACTTATGGAGCCACTTGTTCCACTAATGTCATTCTTTTACATTACTCTAAAAAACCCTCACCTCCTTACTGTGATGTTGTGATTTACAATAAGATAGATTTTATACACACACACACACATATATTTGGTCTGTATTCTATTTTTGGCACAGACCTCCTAAAGTTTGGAGTTTCTTAAATTGAGAGTGATAAAGCTGTCTTTTCTCACATTAATGAGGTAGCTTTTGGAATGTCTCTAGTTCTCTGGTGGGAACTGGTCACCAGAGGAAGCCGCTTTGGAATTAAAGGGTTGGAACTTTCTGTCACAGCTCCCCTGTCATCCAGGAAGAGTGAATAAATCACCAATGAGCAATGACTTAATCAATCATGCCTTTGGGATATGACCTCCATAAAAACCCAAAGGACCGAGCTGGATAACATAGGAAATTCAAGGGAGGGTGGGGTATCTTGCCCCATCCATGTCTTGCATCTGGTTGTTCCTTTCTAATAAAATACAATGGTGACTTAGTAACTAAAATGTTTCTGAGTCCTGTGAGCTGCTCCAGCAAATTAATCAATGCCAAGAGGGAGAGTGTAGGAACTTCTGATTTATAACCAGTTGATCAGAATTATAGGTAACAACCTGGGTTTGTGACTATCATCTGAATTGGGATGAGGTAGGGTGGAGAAGTCTGTGAGACTCGGCCCTCTGCTGTTGGGGGCTGTCTTCAAAGATGGACCCCTTAGCCTGTGGGATCTGATACTATCTCTGAGTATAGAGAATCAGAATTGAGTCACAATTAGGAACAGTGATATTTATGTATATGTGTATAACTATTTCCACATCCCTAGATACAATGGAATATTATTTATCCTTAAAAAGAAAAAAAGAGAGCCTCCCCTGGTGGCGCAGCAGTTGAGTGCTGGGCTGCAAAGCTGCCCGCAGCCTCTGCAGCGGCTGTTCGATCCCTGGCCGCCGGCAAGGGTCCCACATGGCGCCCAGACCTCTCCTGCTGCTTGCTGCTCCCCTCGGCAGTGTATTTCGTCAAGTCTGCCTGTTCTGTTCCCCGCTCTGTCTCTGGTGAATTCTCTCACCCTCCCGCGCTTCTGGCTGTACCCAGAGCTTGTATAAATAAATAAATAAATCTTAAAAAAAAAAGAGGAAATCTTGTCATTTGGGACAACATGGATGAAACTGGAGAGTGTAACGCCAAGTGAAAAAGCAGACACAGACAAAAATGGCATGTTCTCACTTATATGTGTCATTAAAACAAAAGAAAAAAGAAGGTCAAAGTTACTGAAGCACAGTAGTACAGTGGTGGCCAGGGCCCTGGGGCCGGGGGATGAGAGAAGTAGGGAGACTTGGTGGGGAGGAAGAAGTCATGCACTAACATGCCGGGGAGTCACTAAAAAGGATCCTGAGGCCTGCTCTCCTAGAGAACAAAACAACCGCCACATGGTCTGGAGACCTTGGACAGATGCCATGTGCTGCTTTTCCAGGTGAGCGCAGTGGCAGCTTGGGAGAGAATGGAGGTGCCCTGCGCTTAGGCAGTTGGTGTAGAGTAGTGGAGGATTTGGCGTCCAAGGAGAGAAAGGAATGCAGAATTGGCAGAGATCAAACACCAGACTTGTCCTGCAGCTGGGAAAATACAATGGAGAGGGTTCAGAAGTGACCTATATGGTGTGATGACCAAGAAGCTCCACCTCCTGGTACCTTGACACCCCTTAAGTCCTCCAGAATTTAGGAGCAGCCTAAGGTTAGATGTGAGAGTCCTTGAATTAACTAAGATTAAGTTAATTACAGAGAACCATGTCCTTCACATCTCATGATGTGCAATAAAATTTGTCCCAGCTACCTGAGTATAATTTCAGTATGATTTCTTCAGCTCTATCATTTGTTAAATAATTATATATAAATATATATAAATTCATCTTTCACTAATTCTGTATATATTTAACTATAACACCTATCTACATCAATTTAACATGTATATCAAAAGCACACCATAAGGTGGCACTAGAAAGCTACCTTTTGCTTTTGGTCCTAAAATTCCAGTGCTGTGCCAGGGTTGTCTGTCGCCTAGCAGTTGTGCATAAGGTGCAGGAATCTAGTGGTTCCAGAAAAGGAAAATAGAAAAATAAGGATGAAATCATTAACAAAATAATGCAAGAAGAAGCCAACTAGAACTGAAATAGGAAAACTGTAAGTGAAAGTTCCCCTGAAAGTCCAGAAAAGTGGGTGAAAACACATCCACACCAAGTCTTTTCAATCCCTTTCGTCAGGCCTCCTATATCAGACCCCAAACCTGTGTCTGGATTCAGGGGAACCTGGTCTTACCAGCGTCCATTTTGAATGGAGGTGCCTTTTGAAGATTCTACATGTACCTTGGACTTGTTTTCAGTTACCCACACAGTTAGTAGAGTTTGGGTTTTCGGCGGGGGTGGGGGTTGGGGGACCGCAAAATCACTTAGTATTTGTATACTTGAATTTTTTCATCCCCAGATGAAGCAACTGAACATTGAACTTATCCCAATGGGATAAGAAGATTAGAGGGTTGGGATTAGAGGGCTGGAACTTTCTGTCACAGCCCCCCTGACCTCCAGGAAAAGGTGAGGGACTAAAGAGTGAATAAATTAACAATGAGAAATGACTTATAAGCAATTGACTTATAAGTCAAATAAACAATTGAGTGTAGTAGTTAAGAGGCCAGACCCTGAAGTCATTCTTTCACCCAACATATTGAGCACCTGTGATGTGTTTGCTGGGAACATGGGAGCAAAAGTAGGCCCCTCACAGAGTTTCTAGTCGGCAAGATTTCTAACTGGTGCCTGTGTTCTGTGTCTAACTGGAGCAGGGTTCTGGTCTGGTTTTTGTGGCAGCTGTTTCATTTAATTTGGAATGTCCAGGTTATGTTTGTCCTTCAGGTTTGCCAAAAAGTGACTGCCAGTGACTGTTCTCAAAAACAAAATCATTTGACTAGCGAGGTGCATCTTTGTCCCAAAACCCTGGGGGCCTTCACTGTGACTCCTCTTTCATGGAATGTCCAGACCCAGAAAGTACTACACCTACCACAAATGAGCCAAGACCACGGGATCTGCTGAATTGTCAAGGTCAAACATCAGGGCTGCTCCCACAGCAAGCGGTGCGGGTAACCTTATCAACATTCCCTTTCTAAGTGAGCTTCAAAGCCTGAGACTTTAGTGTGGCTGTCAGAGCTTGTGGCGCGGTGCACTCAAATGTGGTAGACACTGTTAAAAAAAGCCCAAAGAAACCACAATTCTTTGCATGCATCATTTCTTTCACTGGGAAAAAGCTATCACTTGCTCCAGACTCT